AAATATCTCAGCAGGAAAATTGTCAATCCTTTGCTGTCACTTTGATGCAAGTGTCAACAAACAAGGGAGGAAAAAAAGAGCCCTGTGTTTAAGTTTTCTTTGGTCAACGTTGCCCCCTAGTGGTTGCACTAGAAGTTGTATGAAACTCAAAATACTACCTTTAACAAATCATTGCATTTATTACTATTAAAAAAACTTGGATTACACCACTTTATTTGAAGGAAAATTTGATTTTTTATCCAAAATGTGGAAAATGTGAGGCCATACTGTGTTTTTTTCCAACAGCAAACACAACAGCACAGTCCTCCTTGTTCCCAACTCGGCTTATCCTCCCTATCAACATGTGGAAGTGTTTTCAAAATCGCTATCTACGAGCAGCAAATGGTCTTAAATCAGTCATTTTAATATCAAAGCACTTAACACTAGAATGATGATTACTTGCAGGTGGATATCTGTGCTGCTTGTCAGGACTGCATTTGAAGAAAATGACTGAGCTCTTATCCGACACGTACAGTACAGCCAGTGTTCAATAGGCAAGATCACATTACAGAAGATTACTTTGGAGTTTGAGCAATTTTCCCAAATTACACTGGCCTTTGGTCTCTGCTAAACTTGATTGACTTGAATGGTTTTCATTAGAAAGACTCTGCAGAGGCTTTGCTGTTGATGCTCGTACACAATGAGTCGAGGCATTTGAGGGTGAGCGGGTGCAGATGGGACACGGGAAGTGAGTGGGTATGCAAATGTTTTCATGGGAATGCTTTGTCATGTTTTAAGAGAACACAGACTCATGCTCTGATCAGTGACTCGTCTGTTTCCACAAGATTTCCCCTCAAAAATGGATCTGTATTGAAAAGCGTATTAAAATATTGCTTTCACAATCACTCTGAAAGAAAAGCTTCAAATTTGACGTGTTTTCTAGCCCTCTAAATGTGTTCACAATACAACAAATCTTTTATGGTTGAAACTCAATCCCACATTTGAACTTCAGTCCACCCTCCTCTTGTCTGTCCTTGTCAAAAGAGCAAAATCCGAGTCATAAACATCAGTTAGATGTCACAAAAAGCCTGGGCTCAGACTGACAGGAAAATAGCTCTGAATAACATGACCACCCTTATTACCATTCTAGGAAAATACTTAGAGAGGGGTCCAAAATGAAGAGTTCTTCTGTCAGTGTCAGAGGGAATAAGAGATATTTATCCTGGTGGGAGATATTCCCGCTCTCCCATCAGCTGGTTGGCTGCTTTACTCGCTCCCTTAAAATTGAAACCAAACAGAGATATCTGAGGAACTTCTATGCACCCAGTAACCTCACATGGAAAAGAGAAATGATTGGCTTCACGGTTACATAAACTTTAATAATGACAACTGTCCATCTCTGGATCTCAAAATGATCTCTGATGAAGACGTCTAACCATTACAGGATGACTTTCAAATCAAGAAACTGGAAGTCTTAAAGATTGGCTTGAAAATCTGCAGGTTCATGGTGCCACCTTGAGGAGGATTGCTGACACAGCACAGAGGTAAGACTACATTTTACTCTCAGCTGTAGAATCAAAGTCTGGATCACATATTAAAGAGTATTAAGAGGTGTGGGGCACGTAATAAAAGCAAAACATGGACAGCATAAGGAGATTATAAGGCGTTTTGGGGCTCTCTTTTCATGAAAGTCTTGGTTTCATCATTTCCAATCATTTTGTGTGACTTCATCTTCTTTTATCTCAGCTGATTACTGTAATTGCTTATGTGGCTTATATGAAAACCCGAGCACCAAGTCGGTCAAGGACTTAATTGGAATCCCTGGGATTATTATGATTATAGGTCTGCAGTTTTTAAGATGTTTACATGCTCAAAAACTCATGAAAGTTTTGCACGTGCTTCAGATGTGGTGAAAAATTTGGTGTTTGGCTGTTAAACTTGGTGTTTTGTTTTTAGACAGGATGTAGTTTTTATAGATGTATATAGAATATATAATAATATATACAAGTTTGTGACTGTTCGGCATGTCTGCACTTGTTTTACGATGGTACAAGGTTATTTTGTGTCCCTGTTAAGACAGTTTTTATGTATCTTTTAGTTTTTTTTGCATCTCTTTGTTGCCATATTGTAGTATCTTGAGTTAGTCAATGTATTCTGGTCATTTTTACATTTCTGTGGTTGTTCTGCGTCTTTTGAAGAGGTTTTGCATCATTTAGAGGTGGCCTCTAGCTGTTTTGTGTTACATTGTTGGTGTTTTGCATGTCTTTGTATTAGTTTTTAGTTTCTTCTTTTGTTTTTCATTGACTGTCACTTGAAAATAATAGCGGCAGGTAGGCAAAGTCGGTAATCCATCCATGGAGAACCTTTTATTGTTAGAAGTTCTAATTCGATCTGGATTAGGCCAGATTAATTATTGCAAAAAGGGTATTTACGCTCAAACTAACCAAACAAGTGAATCTTAAGTGCCTAATTTGAAACAATGCTCTAATGGGTTTATAGATTAACTCTACTTAAACTGCATTTGCGGGGCAAAAGGTTCAACACTTGGATCGTAATGCAGGTTGAACAAGTTTAAAAAGTTTGAAAACTGAGTGTCAAACTTTAAACAAAATTCCGATCCCATCTGATGAGACCAAGACAAATGCTCCACCCTCTCCTCAGAGGCGGTTTGACAAGATGTCACTGAAGAAGATTCAGCCTCCCTCATCTCTGGCAATGAAGCTCCAACTGTCAATACGACTGACGTGAACATGAAGTCATATAGAAAAATGACATCTCTTCATGGGCGAAATCTCTGCTTATATTTTATCATTTCTCTTTAATCATCTCTCTGCCATTGCATCTGGATTGCATCATTTTAATATGACACTTCAGAGTGTTAAAGAGGCAGGATGCACTCTCCAGCCGCAGCCGTCATCCGGCTGACCACAGAGTGAGAGTTTTATGGAATGAAGAAGCAGCAACACATCAAACTATCCAGAGAGCCAAACTGTATCACAGATGCCACAATAACAACCGTTGTTTAGTCAACTATGATCCCCTGATGGAGATAAAGTGCATCACGTTTGGCCTGAACAGCTGAGGTGTTGACTAAAAGACTCTGATGAGCTGAGGAGATTCTGGATGAGATACAGGTCAAGAAAAGTCTGACTTTTGAGACTAATCTAATCCCAGGAGGGTGCTTTCTTAAAGCTGAACTGGCTGCTCAGGGGGAAGTACACCAAACTTGTGTGTGTGTGAGTGTTTTTGGTGTGTTCAGCGCCCTTTACTGCTCAGGTCACATGATCTAATTTCACCAGCTGTATGCACCACAATGAGATTACAGGTACAGTATTTAAAGTTTCTGTGACAAACTTTTGGTTTGTCAATTTTGGCGCCCCCTGTGGAAGAAAAATCTTTAAACAGTCTTTTAACAATCTTGATGGTCAGATAGATGTTTTTGAATATCACAAAAAGACAAAAATATCGATTTGAGTTTATTTCTTAGATGTCAAAAAATCCTCACATGAGCTTTAAGTGGTTTAATACATAAATAGAATATCCTGATGTAGTCTGTGCTGGACATTCAAACCCTCTCCTGAGTCACTTTCAGCTGGTCCTGAACACAGCATCTAGGCTTCTAACTGGTTTCATCAGACGCCATCATATCACTCCTATTCCTACCTCCCTCCGCTTGCTACCTGTCCACCTCAGGATTGAGTTTATTTTATTTTTTAGATCTGACTGATGATTTCTAACACTTATCTGGTGTTGGCTAAAGGGTAAAAATGTTGACTCTTGTTGAAACATTTCTACCCTCAGGTCGGGTTTTTCTGGTTGTTTTAAAGTTGGGGCCTAAACCTAAAGGAGGCTTCCTCAGTTTCAGGGTGACCTCCTTGAGATGAGGCGCAAAGAACGAGTAGTATCTTTTTAAACAGTTTTAAAATTAACTCTTAGATTTTTAGATTTAGAAAGCTTTTTTTTTCTTTCACTATTTTTGCTGCCTCTGATTCATCTATTTGTTCTTAAGGGCTTTTGATGTACTTCGTTAATTTTGCTGAATTTTGATTTTAGTCTTCCAAATCTTTTACAGACTAATTTTCTCTGGTGTGACATCTTCTTTTTAGATTGATATTTTGGCCTTTGTGTAGAGAGGACAGAACCACAGAGAGAGCCAGAAGCAGAGGAGAGATTAGGTAACAACGCGTGGGAAAGGGACTACAGGTCAGAATCAAACCTGGACCCTCTCGTGCCTAAACTGTTTTAGTCGCTTGATGCGGTAAAACAATCTATCTGACATCTACCCCACTCCAGCAGTCCTGAACATCAAAAATCCCTCTGTAGATCCAATCAGCCTCACCCGAGATGATCTCCTTTGCTGTTGTAGGTCATGTTTAAGTACCAGTATAAATGTTTGACTGTTTTGAAAGCAGCTTAAAACTTCACAGCAGCTGTAAGTATGTTTAATCTGTCACCAAATTTATTGAATTGCTTTCTCACTCCCAATCAGAAGACCCACGCATTAGAAAGCTGCCCGTCATAATCAAACGGGAGAAAAAAGTCTTCACTTTTATCCAAACTTTACATTTTAAAGGAAATAAAAGCATCAAGGAAGTTCCCGGTGTGAACCACACGTGTGTCCCCAAATCCATATTTGCTCAGCAAGTCCACATACTGTCTCTCTGTCCTTTCTTTCCCCTCAGACTGGGCGAGCATGTTCAGAGACTGCAGGGCAGACTGGGGCCTTCCTCCGTCCATGGTCTCAGCTATGAGGAGTGCACATCCTGAGACCCAACACAAGAGATTGTACAAAACCTTAGGGAATAACATAATCACAACACACATGATCAAGATAATTAAAAACCTTATTGACTTCCCACGACAAACTGCATTAATTTTGAGACAAAAGGCTTTTTATTGGTTCACAGATCCTACATTAGAAAATCTCTCATTTTAGTCCTTGATTCTGATAAAAATCTATATATTTTACAGTTTATCACAAGTGTAGTGTTTTTGTTCAAAGTTTTTAAAGGAGATGTCGGTCACTCCTTGATGCACAGCATGGCATCCAGCAGGTTGTTTGTGTGTCTGATATGCATCGTCGTGAACCCGTGGCTCTTCAGAAGCAGGCTGTACTCTGAGGCGCTCCTCTGTTTCCCCACGCTCATGCTGAGGGCCTGCAGCAAACCACGACTCGGACCGCCTCTGTCTTCATCCAGGAAGATCTCACTGAGCAGGAGTCCACCGCCTGGTACAATGGTGCAAGTGCATGATGTGTGTGTACAGATGTACAACTTTTTACAACAGTATCAGCTGATTTAAGAGTCCTTGTAATTCTCTGGCATTAATTTACTTGATGAAAAATGCAATATTCAAGAAAAGGGCAGAAAGAAAAACAATGTTGAGCAAACGTTTAATGTCTGAGCTGCTTTAGAAATTTCAATCATTATCAGCTTGAATCGGCCGACCGCAGATGATAAAAAGTTACAGCAGTTGCTCTTGTAGACGATTTGACCAAAAGGAATCAAAATGACTCAGTTAAATCAGATAACACAGGCTCACTGTAAAATAAAAAACCCCTCCTGACTCCTAAGACCACATTGTCCTTTAGTATCATAATAATCCTGCATAAACCGACCCAGAAGGCACACTTTCCTGTATTTACTTGAAGTGTTCAAATGCATTGAACAGTTTAATATTTTTCCTTTCATGTTTTTACAGGAATCGGTTGTTTTGATTTTATAATCTTATGTCTTTGAAGGAGCTGTGACAACTGTGAAAGCAGTCAGCAAAAGAATGAGAGAAAAAAGCTATCTTTTTCAGACTAAATACTCTACCATCTTGAATAAAAAAACTCTAACCGGTGAGCTTTTGAGGCTGTGTAATGATGATTTTTTTGGTTGGATGGTTTACAGTTTTATAGATTTTTCTTCTGCTCCAAATAGTAAACTCCAAACGGCAGAGACATGATGCTAGACACAGTGGCTTATTTGAGGTCTGACAGCTCATAACCAAACCAGTTCCAACCGACTGACGACACTGAGACGTTTTTTTATGAATAAACTTTCCACTCAGGCTGGCAGCCATGTTGTTTTTGTGTGTTTGTCTCTGCAGGAAGTAAAGGGACTCAGCCTAACCACAACACTAATGACTCAGTGTCTTGGATTCAGACTCAAGCACTGATTGCAGTCAGACTTGGGAGATGGGAAGGACTCTTTGTCGATTTTTTTGTAGAAGGCCCTGGTTATTCATCTTTATTTGGAGCAAGACCTGACATGTATTCAACTCACATTTAGGGTTGTCCCAAAGTCACTTATTTCCCATTTATTTAAATCGAACCAAAGTTAAAGTCCTGAAGTTAAATTTAACACCTTTTAAGAAATAATTCAAACCTAATCACCTGCTCTAGTTGACTTTTTCATAGCCATAAATTTTGTTCAATTTAATTTCATGGCTGATCTTTTTCAAGACCCTGCAGACACTTTGAAATACTGCTCAACACAGGATCACAGAGTCTACTGACTAATGTTTAACTGGGTTCCTGAGAGTGGTTGAAGTTATCAGAGCTAGCACCACCAGCCCTTGGTCTTCCTTACAGGTTACTGTCCACCTGTCACTGTTTGTCACACAGGGTAGGCGGTGCTGAGATAACCAGACACAACCTTTTTACAACCTTTCTGGGTTGAGGTACTGCTAAATTGTGTCACACTATGAGATACCATATTTGTTTGCATCCCATCTGAAAAGGTGCCACACTATGAGTGGGTGTTCACCGACTCTGCCCTCAGGCAAGAGACTGTGGTCCATCAAAACCAAAACCTCAGGCCACATGAGCTGTTTGTGATCTTCTAAGAAAAACCGCTGAACTGCTTCTTAACATCACAGAGAAGTTATGATGATATCAGACTTATCGCAAAAACATGCCTTAAAATCCTCTGTACATTGCACTCAAAGCACTCAAACCTCAAATACTCTCCAATTATTTTGGTATTAAAAGCCTAAAAACCGTGTGATATTTTACCTGGTCTGCATGCATCTGCGATCCTCTTCAGCAGAAAATGGACCCTCTCCTCAGACCAGTCATGGAGAATTCTCGCCAGGATGTACAAATCAGCTTTGGGTAACTCGTCTGTGAAGAAGTCTCCTGAGCACACAAAGGATTATGGTTTTTAAGCTTCTCAAAAGTTGATGTTACTGCATGAAGTTTAAGTTTGATACACAAACGAACCTCCCACAAATGACACCCTGTCGTCTCTGTGCGGCGGAATGAAACGCTCACTCATCTCAACGACAGCAGGAAGGTCAAACACGGTCACAGACAAACCAGGATGAGCTTTAGTAAACTCATAAGCCATGGCACCAGTGCATCCTGGGAAAGAAAACAGAGCTGTATGTTAAAGAAGTGTTTGTTACCAAGTGCTATTTAAAATCTTTGGGTTCTTCTTTTTACCTCCGAGGTCACAGGCCGATTTAAAGCCGGAGAGGTCAAAGGCTGTTGCTACTGCTCTCCCCGTGACTTTGGCGATGCTGTGCATGGCTTTCATGAACCTTAGCTTGACTTCCTGGTTGTAGTAGACAGTATCCTTTAAAACGTAAAAGGAACAACAGAATGATTGTTAAAGATTTAACCTTCTCCTTCATTTATGCATGCAAGGCTGGACTTGATTGAGAGCCACCTGAAACATGTCCTTCGACTTCTTTCCAAAGGCCCTATCATGCTGGTTGGTCCCCTCCTTTACTGCGCTCTCCAGGTGGGAGAAAAGAGGCCACACTGTGCTCTCACAATGCTGGATGTAGCCGTGCAGAGAGAAAGGAGCGTCTGTGAGCAGGAAACGTGAGGAGAAAGATCTGTGTTCTCATATACCGTCTTCTGGCAAGCTAGGAGTGGACACATGGAAAGTTTTTGAGAAAATGAAGAATAAGTATGTCTTTAAAAATGATACTCATGTCATGATCAGAACAGATAAACACTGATTTACTTTGTTCTTTGCTCTTTAACAGCCCCAGAGACACACAGGCTTCCAGCAGACACGCAGTCCCTTTCACTGAGGCTTTGATCTCCTGAGCGACCTGCTCTGCATCCAGCCCCGGTTTGTTTTGTAGCACGTCAAACACACGCAACTTGGTGGCTGTAAAGAGTGCCTGCAGCAAGAAAACAGAGGTAGATATGAGATAAAGATACAGGAGTCTCCAGTGCAGCGCAATACTTCTGCTTGTAAAGTTATCGCCATATCTTCATAGTTGCACACAGGAAGTCACTGCCCCACTAATCTTACACAAAGACGTTATTGCTCCACAAGTGAAATGACACTTTGTCGTTGCATGTCAAGACAATTGTACATGAGGTGCTATGGCACATGGAGTTTTTCTAACCACTTTATAATCGAAATGTTAACCACAAAAGCTCACTTACCCTCCCATGTCGTGTTCAGTGAATGTGTTAAGTTGTCATCTTTGACACTGTCACGAAAGAAGCTAAGTTTCCAAGAAGTATGATCGCTACAGGTGCAAAATGAGACTCGGTTTGACTTCCTGAGAGTTTTTTTTTTTTGTAACGTTGTGATAAAACCACAGGATTCACTTTTTTGAACTTTTTCATTTGAGTTTATTAAACAAGATAAAGCAAGTTTCTCAGAGCTTCAGAGGTGCTAGTTTCAGGCCTCAACTGAACTGTGAGAAAAACAGGGCGAACGGTTTCCCGAGTTCAAAGTCTCTGTCTTCTGCAAGCCTGCTGTACAGTAAAAAAGTGTCGTCGAGCTTCTCATCAAAAATCTCAGCAGACAAAAACAAAATTTCTCTCACAAACAAGCCTAAATGTTACTCTGTCTCTTGTTCTTTTGACACTGGGTGGACGTTTCAGTTATACTGTAGGAAAGATTAAGCACTTAATTCATTCTTCTTCTTTTCAAACATGTACTGTCTGTGTTTTGTTGACTATTCAAGATGAAATTGTTGTTTATATTTTATAGGTTTACTTTCTACAGTTGATCAAATTATTTTTACTGAAACATTTGGTGTATAAACACACTTTTTTCAAGTTTAGTTTTTGGCTTGTTATGCCGTGACAGGGAGGATAGGACAGTGGAAAGTGCAAGAAACTGTTAGAAAGTGGGTTAGCTCTGTGGTCGCGTCTGTGGTTACAGACAACGGCCCCTGAACATGACCTCTTAACCACCCGGTGATATTACACCCCCCCCCAAGCTGAACTTTGAATACCATTTATGTTATCTAAAAATTCAGCTGTGTCCTATTTACTGATGAAACCAGTATGTAAGGCAGAGAGTAGATTTTGTTTAATTTTTCTAAGAGTTAAATTACCTTTGAGGCTTTAAAACCATCCATCAAATCCATGATTCGCTGCAGGTCCTCTCTTTTGGGTTCACTTTCTTCATGATCTGTCAGCTGCCCCCTGCTGGTCACTGGTTGTAATGTTTTACTCTCACAGATATCTGCATGTGAAGCGGAGCTGTTGACCAATGTCTGTGAACTCTGACCAGCTTCACTGTCGCTGCCTGTCCTTTTTACCTACAAGAGAGGAACATATCTATTAATTTGGACAGAGGAAGTAAGATCTTGAGCTCACATAATAATAATTTAAAAAAACTAACTTTATGTCGGGGGCTGGTGGACGGGCTCTTCTTGTTGTGGTGCGTTTGACTGGACTTGGATGATAACGGGCTGTGTTTGGCTGACGAGCTGCGACTGTTACTGTGAGTCTTGTTTTCACTTGGGCTCACTGACGGGCTTTCCTGGTCTGAAGAGGAAGTGGACTGGTTGTAAATTACATCTAGCTGTTTGCAGAAGTGGTTCAGTGGAAAACCCACAACATTGAGGAAGTCTCCATGAACGTACTCCACCAGCATCCCCCCGAGAGCCTGAATACCATAACCGCCAGCTTTGTCCCTGAAACACATGTGCACAGATATTTCAGTCAAAAAGGAACAAATACACCAAAACACCTGCACAATTACATTAAAATAGCTCTGTGTAATAATACATGATATGAAAGCAGGATACATGTATCAGTGAGGACTCCTGTCAAACCCTGTCGATTGGGACAAAGCAAACAGAGTTGGAACAAAACTCAGATACCAAAGTCCAAAAAGTAAACCAGTTCATGCGGCCCAGATACATTCATATGACCTCCATTGACAAATGTCCGGTAAGGTTACAACACTGGGTGAGTCAATAATTTTGTGTGAAAGTTCAAGAATCTACACTCACATGGGTTCACCACTATTGATGTACTCCCAGAGCATATTCTCCGACAGATCTGCGAACTTCACCTTCGTTTCTTCATAGAAGTCAACCAGCTGGTAATCCACCTCTTCATCTAAAGAGAGAGACACAGATTTACAAAAGAAGACATGTCAACTAAGACAGACTACATTTGGCAATTCAAGCCCTCCACTACCCCTAATATATTGTAAACTTACATTATATCTTTCCTATTTCTGTCACAAGGATGTTCTGACTTTGATTTAAACAATATCAGTACCAAAGAAGGCTGCTAGCAGCGGCTAGTTCTTCATCTATCCTCTATTTAATGACACGTGGCAACCAGTTTGACTGTATGCCTAATTATGGAACAATATCAATATATTTATTTTTGATAACAGTTATCATCATAACACAGGAGAGAGATGACAAAGAAGCAGCAGCTGCCAGCGAGCTAGCTGTAGCAGCCAACTAAGAGACAATCAAACACTTAAAAACTTTCTTTTAAAGATTTATGGTGAACCCAAAATGCTTGGAGCTTTGTCCATTAAGGTTAGTTATAAATTAAAATACTTACTTAAAAAGTAAAGGCATGGTTTATGTCGGTATTGGCACTTATATAAGTCAAATTTTGTTTGAAAATATCAGCATATCAGCAAAGTCTAATATTGTGCAATAAATTATTTCTTCATTTTGGGGGGGACACGGGAAAGTCCTTCAAAGAGCTTTTAAGTTTGCTTCATATGATTTCCAAAGAAACTAAAAATGGCTGATCAGAATGACACTTACTTTCTTCGTCATGGCAGAGGACTATAGCTACACCAGTGTAGACGCTGTGCTCTTTACCACTCAAGCTGAAGGAGAAAAGAAATAAACTCATCACAGATTTTCCTTTGTTTTTTTTTGTTTTTTTCACGGTTAAAAATTCATGTGATAATGTGAATGTTTCTAACCTTGAAAGCATCCTGTAGGCATCATGTTTGTCCACTGGTTTCTCCAGAATCATGCCATCTATAGTCTGTAAAAATGAGACTGAATATAATAACTACAGTGGTGTTACAGCGCAGGAAATGATGAGGTGCTTCCCTTCACTTACCACTATAGTGTCAGCTCCGATAACTATGTCTGGAGTCTTCAAGTGTTTCTAAAAAATAATATGAATCAGTACATTAACTGAAGAGTATAATCCTGTGTTGTACGTTTATAAAATACCATCAGCATCAAGACTTACAAAGGGCATCCTTCTGGCCACCTCCAGAGCCTTCTGTTTGGCTGTCTCAACAGCATACTCATAAGGTGCTTTGAAGAGTTTCTTATCCAGAGTTTCCTTGAACCACGATGGTACCACCTCAAACTGTAAGCCCTAAAACACAGAAGAAGAATGTTTTACTATGACTAATTCTGTTATGTGTGGGATACTTTAGAAACAGAAAATCAAACTTGTTGGCACTTCCTGTTTGAGAGGTGTTTTCCTGATAACTCTTTTTCTGAATTACCCTAAACACATCTTCTGTAATGAAACTCTTGGGTACTTTTTCAGCCAAGGATTTTCAACTGATGTGTTGTTCTGCATTACTATACCAATACTGAAACTGGCATCATGACATAAGACAAAGCAAGAAGTGTGATTAATCAGCCTTATTCTTGGGCCTGTGAATGAGTTTGCCTTACATACAGTGAAACTGAATTTGTTTGATCACCTAGTATGTAAACTATTTAGTCAGATGATTAGGTCACAGATTTACTGATCAAATGGAGACATACAAATCCAAAAAACCTACAGCATTACGGAGAATATCTTGTCTCCTAGGAGAAGCACTTGCCAGCACAACCAGTTTATTGGCAAGTTTTGAGATGACAGGGTTCAGCACCATGGTGTCCTACTCTTCTGGCTGACCCCTACAAGGTAAAGAACAGAGTTAAACATTACAGATGTGGCCTAGTTGATATAAAAGACTCAGCGTTTCTGCATGGGATGACTGCAGCAGTTCAGTTATGATGACATAACACAAACAAAGCATTCAAACAAGTCACAAAGTAAATTTGCAAATTTTCATTCATCACAGCTTCAATTGGGATGTACATTTCTCTGAAATAAATAATGTTAAATCTAAACTAAGGTTTTCTTTCTGAAAGTATTCAAGAGCACAAATCAGCTGAATCACCAGTACCCTATTTTTAACAAAGCCTCTCTTGACAAAATCCCACCCACTTATCCTCTCTAAAAAATCACAATCTGCTGTACACAATGTGCTCTTTTTCTTTTCAACAAAGTAGTTAATGTTTGTTACTGATATTAAACTGAAAAAGTCTAAACATACATGGACCTTCATTTGATCACATCTGTGTTGAATGTACTTTATCTAGACTGTGTGTGGTGTTTGATAAGTTTGCTTGTTCATTGTAGAAACCTTGTTTAAGTGTTACTTTTGGTCAGGTTTTCCAGATCTCTGATTTAATACACTGACCTGTTTAAATAAAGGTTACATAAACTCAATAAATTACAACCTATCTGGATTTTGGCTGAATTTACAATGGAAGTAAGCTAGAGATATGACAGCATGCATGATAGGACCACACATATAGAAAGAATACAAAGAAAGTAGTAGCTATCAGTGGTGTAAACAGGATTTCTCTCATAGCAAATACACAAAACTGCCTTATGAGTTAACATGCAACGTTAAAATGACTGCGTGCAATAAGAAATATGTTCAATATGGGAGACGTGGAAACAAATTCTGGCTTTTCTGATATTGAAAACGCTATGTCAAACAACTAATATCCGTATAACGTTTGTTTTAACATAATTTCATTGCTCTGTACTTCTGAATGTGTTAACTTCGTCTTAGTTGTCAGTTATGTAGGCTATTAAAAAACTCATTGGGTTCACTTCACTGCAAGTTATCGATAGAGTTTAGGTAACCTTACGTTCTGCCGGCAAGTAGAGCTACAAGCACAGATATGAAGACGATAAATTACGTGTCCATAAAATAGCTTTTAATACAGATGTGAGTTAAATCTCTTACCTTGTTGTCAGAGTCAGGAAACTGCAGAGGAGAGCTGCTGGCTAAGACGTCGAGCGTGATGACGTACACGTGATGACGTAACAACGGGGCGGATCCAAATTTCATTTGGCTGTGAGAGCGCGACAGAAGTGTATACATCTGACCACATAACTGTTTTTTGTTGTTGTTGTAACAAAATACATTAAAAATGTGATGTTTATGAAAAAATAATAATAATACAGAACTATATTATATTATTTCTTTTAAGAGAAAAATGCAATAAAATTAATTGAAATATTGGTGTTTTTATCAGCATGATGAAGTACTTTACTGTACTCAAAGTGTCTATTGTATTTGTAGACATGGATAAACACTCATAAGTATGTTTAAAGCTACTGTAAGGAATTTTTCTGATATTTAGAACGTAGACTGAAACTCACATTGATGCCTTGTTATGATACACAAAAGCAAACATGACAATCAGAGACAAGACTAATAACTGTTATTTTGTAATTTTAGATGGCTGAAACTGTGTAACCTTGGCTCTTACATTTTTACATTATTATACACACAACTGAAATATCTTATGGCCAAAAGAGAGCAGAATGCGATTTATTTTTTCAAACAACACTACACAAGCATGAAGAGGACAAGATAAGCAAAGGCTGTTTTGTCCACAGGGGGTGCCATAACTCACACAAACCAAATGTTCTTTACTGGTGCTTTAAATTAGTGTTTGATTACTAGAATCTAGAGCTAGAGCCCTTTTATTTTGTTAAAATAAAACAAAATAACACAGCTGAGAAACCCGTGGCGACCGAGCTTTCTCGGCTGTGGCTCCCAAATTGTGGAATGAATTGCCACTCACGATTAAAACATCCCCCACTTTTTCTACTTTTAAATTGCGTCTTAAAACTCATTTTTATTCCTTGGCTTTTAGCTCAGCATGAGAGTTGTGTGATTTCTATCCTTTTACGTAGTGTTTGTTCTTTAATTTTTTTGTGCAGCACTTCGGTAAACTTGAATGTTTTTTAAAATGTGCTATATAGATAAATTGGGTTAATAACAGATTAATAACATATGCACATTTGTGTTTAATGAATGGCTATTTGAGATGCACTGGCTGAAAGATGAAGAAAAAGCAAATCAAAGAATGGCTGTTGTGCACAAAATAATTTGTATGGATAGACACTTTGATGGTAAAACCTGACATATGTAGGATCATACTTGTGAATCACATGATTTATTGCTACACTGATGAGAGGGGGGTGAGCTGGGGAGAGTTTCAGCCTGGGATCTGGTTATTATATATCTATATGTGTCCATTTCTACACGGCATACCTTTAAGATTGTTATAAAGTCAGCTTTGGCAAAGAGCTTATAAAAAACAAACTTTATTTACATTATATGTACACATGAGATATGATGCTACATGGTTTCTCCAAAAAAATGCTTTTGGAAGACATTTATACAAACTTAAAATGAATGCTTTTTGAAATGAATAACGTGGTGAGGTTCAAATGATAAAAAGTGATAAGAATCAGCTGCTTGTTTGTTCTGTGGTTGACATTTCGCACGGCATTTCTTCTTTTCCCTTTCCTGTTTTCTCTCACACCTTCATTTTTTATTAATTGCTGTTCTGTGCTACCAGCGATAATTTGGTGAGGTCTTTATCGTGGCCATCAAAGGTGAAATGTGCTGAGTGCATACTGTCTTTACGATCAGTCCTCATCGAGTCTGCACTGCTCTGGCTCTTCAGCTTCATTATGCGTCTCAGCTTTTGCCTGAAATCCTTAGAAGCAAAGTAGTAAATGAAGGGATCGAGGCAGCTATTGATGCAGCTAAAACAGAGGGTTAGTTTGTAGTACATGTAAAGGGACTGACCATAGAAGAGCCTCATGACTCCGTGAGCAAACAACAGGATGTTGTTGGGAGCAAAGCACAAAGTAAAGACCAGGATCACTACCACAGCCAAATTTATAGCTCTCTTTTTCTGAACTGTTTTGCAATCGCTGGCCAATTTGACTATCACCCTGATGTAGCAAAATGCCGTAACACAGAAGGGCAAGAAAAAGAGGAAAACCACCATGCTGAAGATGAAGGCTGCCCAGGCTGCCTTGGTAGGGAGCATCTTCCTCTTCAGCATGTCAAAGCATGTGGTTATCCCGAGTTCAGGGATATCAAAGGTCAGGTCTGTGGTCATCAGCGGGTGCAAGACACTCAAGACAATAGCCCACATGAGGATGCAGCTTAAGACAGCGATGGCCTTCCTCCCCCTGATCTGCCTGAACAGCATGGGCCGGACGATGCCCAGGTAGCGGTCAATGCCGATGGCCATCATGGTCAGGATGGAGCAGTACATGTTGGTGTAGAAGACCAGGGTCAGGACACTACAGGTGGATACAAACAAGAAGACAGTTTTATTTCAGTTTCAGTCTATTACCTTTTCACAACAGAAGCAGAAAATAATAGATCAGTAAAAAGTGGTAAGTCTACCCAACTGTGAGAAATACAAAGTTCTGATGGGTCAATAGTGATTAATTCTCAACAGCTTGATAGCACAGATTGCATTAAATGAATCTGCAGAAAGGAGTCCAAGACATTTCACCTTTGCCTGAAGCATGGTGGAAGTTTCTGTTCTTAATGACATAGAGGGTATTCTAATTTTGACTGAAGGGGCACAAAACTTAATATTTATTGTTAATAGCTGACCTGAAAAAGACGAAGTAAAGAAGAAGAGAGAAAGACAAAAGAATAGAAGCAGCAAAGGATGCAAAAACAAAAGTCAGAATGAAAGAGACATCAACCAAACTGAAGAAAACAGACATGAAGCAAACACTAAATGGATTACAGTATAGGCTCTGAAAGGGTCAAAGGACCAGTTGGGAAACGAGGGGCTTGACAACTCAAAGGGTGGCACTAAGCCGTAGCATCCATATGAATAGACAGTGTTTCTTTATCAAAACACTGAACTGGATGTTATACGACTACATTTTTTTTCATAGTTTAAAAAATTGACTGAACAGGATTGCAACATAGAGAACCTGCTGGCCTCTTTGAACTCAAACAGAAGATTAATGTCCAAAGCTAGGATTTATGATGTGAACAAAAGGAAATAAAAAATAAGGCTACCAGCAGCCTGTTGAAACACCTCCAATAAGGCAAATAGCCAATCATACATTAGGATTATGGGGGTGGTCAATCTGATTTTAAGGGAGGTGCTTTTTTTTGTGTGTGTGCATCAGTTTGATATGTCAATGGAAAAACACTCATGTTTTGACTTTCCTGGGAATAAAAATATGATGTTTACTGTTTATCTAGTTGTCCCACAACTATAATAATACCTGCACAGACTGGGTCCCATATTCCAGTGGTATCCCTGGAGCTGGTAGGCAATCTGAAAGGGCAGCGCAGTGCCGAGGGCCAGGTCTGTGAGGGTAAGATGTATCATAAGGATGATGGAGGGAGTCTTGGGGGAGGTGCGGAAGATAAGGATCCACATGGAAAGGCCATTTCCCAGCAGGCTGAACAGAGTGATGAACATGTAGATGACAGAGATGGCAAGGCTGACGTTCGCACTCTGAAACAGGGCCAGGGTGGCGTTGTCGATTGGGCTGGTGCTGGAGTTGACCGTCATGACTGGATGAGAATGGCTTCTCATCACCTGTGCAACAGGGGTTTAAAAAAGTCTCATTGTGGTTGTAATAAAATGTTTTTTCTTTTAAAAAGCTGGTTTAAAAATACTCAGTGATTTGACATTCATGCAAGAGATGAACAGTCATGTAGTGTTCTCATAATAGCATTACAAGAGGTGTGAAATAGATACTGTGGTCGTCAGACCAGACGCCTCTCTTTACTTTGCTCCATGTTGTTGTTTGCGTGCGACAAGCACATGTTGGGTGATGTTTTCACACAGGAAAAGGACACGCTTGATTTGCGGTATGTGCCAACTGTCACTGTCTACGGCTTGTGCGCTTTTGTCACATGTCAGAGGGTTTGGGGAGCAGATAAAGAACGGAAGCTAATTGTCTTTGAAAAAAAGATCAACGTTTTTAGTCTGTACTGTCTGATAGGAGATAGTAATTGAACAGTGAGGAGAAAACACTCAAAATGCCCTTAAGGAAAACTTTCTTAAAGTATTTTAAACCTTTTTCCAGTTACCACTCTAATTTTCTGCTCTTCTGGCTTTTGGCTTTTAATTTTAAGGAATTGTAACATCAGAGAGTATTTGTTGGTGCTTTTACAGAAGTTTAACCTCTGGTTTCTGTTTTGTCTCATCTAAATTTACTGTCACTTCTTCAGACTTCAATAGTGCATTATAATTCCTTAAAACAGTAACTCTTGTCATCAATTTATGTTTTTATTTTCAGAGGGTTTGTTCCTATTTTGTGCACTTTGGGCTGCATGTTGGTATGAGAGGTGCTTTCTCAGTAATGTTGTGTTAAAGTGATGTAAGAGTGAGGGGATCACCAATGTATAAAACAGAGGTGAAACCAACTGACACTCGTTATCGAGAACTGCAATTTCAGTTTGAGGTTGTGCAACGGAAAGTACCCCATTGCTGACAAAAGGACAGTTATGGGGAAAAAAAAGTAATGTGAGGCAATAATAAGTACTCTTGAACTATAAAAGTTAACATGTAGTAAAAAGAACCAGTGGGGATGTTATTTCTTATTCGCGCTGTGTGATGTTGGTATAAATAGATTTGAAAGCAGATAAAAAACATTATCTTCAAAACATTTTAAGAAAAAACCATACAGGGTTAATAATTAACTCACTTTTTAAACTAAATACAGACACAAAATCACAGATTAAACTTCTTTACATATATCTACATTCACTTAGAGTTTAAAAATGTCTAAATATAAGAAAACAATGAAAAAATAAAGTACCTGCCACGTGGTGTGGTTGTATTTCATGTTAATATTAAAAATGTAAGCGCAAGTATTGTTCGCTGGTTGGCACTTCCTCTGATAAATCTCAGCAAAAGTTGGGCTCACCTTTTTGAAAGCGGAGGCAGACGAGGCGGATGACAGGTAGGCATGTGAGTGTCTGTTACAGATGAAGGTTCAGATATTGTGACTGCAGAGGAAATGAGGTTGGAGCTGATTACAGTGCCAAAGAAAGGAAACAGATCACGTGACAACTTTCATCCTATACCAACTCTTGGGACTTCACCCATCAGAAGAGTCCGGTGAATCACTTTTTAAGACACAAACGTCCAATACGCTCCACGTGGTCAGAGCACAGAAAACACACATTAAGCTGTTTTGAATACTAGCATGATTGCCTTATTCCTCATGTGGAATTTACTTCTGAATTACACCTCAATTCTCTGGGAGGACTCAGATTTACATAAAGTTTTTTAAGCAAACCCGAAATATGAAGTTTAAAATAACTTTGTGTGTTACGTGTTTGGAGTTTCCTAATACCTCAAAAGATGCGACTTTCACTGACTCACACAAGTGTCATGAAACTGCAACAAAGACCATGGCAGAGAGAAGGAGAGAGGGAGAGATGTCACAAAGTTATACCAAGTTTCTGTACATGACAAAAAGTGCTCAGGCTTGTCTTCATTTGGGATTTTAAAGTACAAATTATGTTGAATTATGAGCAGAAACAACAGCCCAAATCATCTCCTGATCATTGATTAGCTCTCTGAGAAATGTGACTTCAAAATCAAGCACATCAGAAATTAGCTCCTAAAGTTCAGGTCAGTTTGCTCAACATGTATTTTTATTTTAGAGAACTGTATTTGTATATCACTACGCAACAGATAAACCAGAGTATTTCCATTGTGGTTTGCGGTTTAAAGAAAAATATGTCCAAAAATTTCAATGAGGGGTGAATTTGCATCTCCTGTTACCCACACAGCATACTGTATAACACTTTTACACAGACACACGTGTCTGCTTAAAAGGGATGTTGTGAAGTGAAGTGAGAACGCCAGATTTGAACTCATCGCTCACAAGATTCACATGTGCTGTGCTGCTGGTTTCCTGTTGATCTGATAGTTCTGCTTTATCTGGGTTATAGTGTGACCTTAACTATCACTGATCTTCTTTTAATAGCTGCCCAAGAAAAGACTGAGAGAGCAGATTGCATATTTGTCTGGTATCTCTGAGCATTCAGTGAACATTCATAAAAAGAAAAGGGTTGGGTTTCATATTGAAATTGAAAAAACTAACTGTGTCCAAACTTACTTTAATGTGCATCCATTCATTCATTCATTGCTCTTTGTAATTGACTCACACTTGCTGCTTTATCATGCGTACCAAAGGCAGGGCTGCAGCCTCACCCAAACTGTCAGAGAAAAACGGAAACACTAATTTATCACGCATAACACAAGGAAAGCTTTATTTTCTTACAATTTGAAGAAATAAAGGATACAAGAGGAGTGACAGACAAATGTTAGGTCGTGTGCAAAAATAACATATAAGGCTTGATAAAGAGACAATGTTACTTTATAAATATCTGTAACTTTTAGTTGGCAGAGTCACTTGATTACCATGCAGGAAGCATAGAAAATGGCTGATTGTGATACATTAGTGCCATTATTTGACAACTCTTTTTAAGAAATGCTTTATAGAAATGTAGAGAATGTGTTCTTCTTGGCTCTTGGTTGATCATGCACAAAGTGAATATCTCTGTCATGACTCTTTAAAGTAAGGTGGACCAAATGTACAAAGTGGCATCAAAGTTGTTTGCTCTGTCAACTATTTGTAACCCTGCTCATTCTCTCATTTTTATGCACAAAAATACAAACACAATTTCATCTATTACATCTTCTACTTTCATGTTTTTGTAAGTTATACTTACGATATATATTTAAATCTGAATAAAATCTATTCAATTATCACAAACACTGAGTTCAGTAGAGTCCACAAGGATCTTTTGATGGATTTCAAACCAAGCTTCCTCTAATTGGAAGGAGAATTCATAAACATCATGACCCAAAGATGAAACAGGTTTGATGGAATCCAAAACGAAATTACAGGATAAATTTAAGGAGAAAAAAAAAAGGACTTTTTCATCAAAACAGATCAAAATCAAATACCAAATTGTACTGTAAGAAATGCAGTTGTGCTGTCACCATGGTAACTACTTTGTTGGTTGATTTCAAGGATTCATGCTGCGTTCGAGTTACCTCGGAAGTCGGAATGCCCGAACTGAAAATGATGTCACACCCGAGTTACCAGGCGGAAACAAGATGGCTACATTGTTCAACGTTATTTTAGTGCTTATCGTGTCCGAATATAAGGCAAGTGCTTAAATGACCTTCCTAGATGTAGCCATCTTGTTTCAGGCCTCTGAGTTTGCTTTTTTCTGACTTGGTAACTGAAAGGCTGAGAACTTGGGTGTAACGTTATTTTCAGCTCGAACATCTGACTTCCGAGGTAACTCAACGCAGCATTGTACGACAGATACCTGGGATTATTTCAAATGCTAAACAGACTCACATTTAAAATTTCTATTGTGTGTAATATTCATGCTCCTGCAAAAGAAACCTTTGAAGCTCCTGTAAAGAGTTTTTAGCTGCTGGTGAAACAAACTGAGTTTTGAGTTTCACTGCACCCAAAACCCTTGAAAAGACTTCACAACTGTTTTCCTCCCTCAGGTGAGGTTTGTTTCTAAAAGCTCTCCTGCCATTACATACATCAATGATGTATCTTCAAATTGCCTCAGTGTCTGGGCTACTTACTGTTCATCTTTCCTTTTCTCGAACCCTTTTTCCAATCCCGTCGCCATAGCAACTACATCATAACAATGCTCGGCTCCTGGTTCAGGCGAGTGGCTCACAGGAATGCAGTCATAGCCTTTTCCTGCTGAGCTCATGCGCTTTCTGTTGCGAGCACCCGGCTGGTAGAGTTGCATGGCTGGACGGTCCTGCAGGGTGACAAGAGAACAGGGACATGGGAGAGACAGGCAGCACAAAGCTTAGACATAGTTATCAATTTATGTACATTGAATTTTCTTTTATGAGACACAGAGGCCTTTAGTTTGTTTGTGATGAACACAGACAGGGCTTGCAGGTGAAGGAAATGTGTTGGTTAGAAGCTGTTAAGTCACACCCAACATCCTGTGTCAACTTTCACTGAAGCGCCAGAAGTGACTCTCACTCAACACTACAATTTAAAGCTACCACAAAATAACATGGTGTAGGTGTCATAGATCTGTTTCAGATTTGTGAATCTGTATCATTAAGACTAAGCAAATTGACCTTTTTTGTTTGGCTACTACCATCATGTGATATCAAGATTTTTAAGTCAGTGACATTTAGCTTGTTTCGCTTAAAATAATGTGTATTTATCACGACTGAAATGCACTTAAGCACACAGTTCGTAAACAATTCGATCATACTAGACTTAACTGAGACCCTATCCTTGTTGTTTTGTGTCCATCTTTGACAAAGTCGAAGTAGAAATAAAAGTTGGAAAAGAGCAGCACCTGGAGGATACTGGCAGAAACACAGCCCAAACCCTGCGCCTCTGTTGGGAAATTACTTGCTTGTGAAAGTAAATGTCATGTTGAAATGATATTTACGAAATAACTTAATGTTCAAAATATGCTTACAGCCTGCAAGTTAGCTGCCCTCATAAAACTTGTTCTCTACTAATTTATGTAGTGGTTTCTGTACATACACAAGTGTTTTAACTATAGATGCATGCTGAATCATTTGCAGGAATATCTCTATTTGTGACTTCAAAAAAACTCTTGCTCTGACACAGACACACTCATGATAAAAGAAAAAATAATGACTTCAACCCGTTAATCATCAAGTGTGAAACCACAGGAAATGGATAAACATCACAGTATACACATCAGAAGAGAAATAATTAGTCACCACCTTCCCCCCTCTCATGCTCACCTTCTCGCTCACCTTGTTTCGGAGGCGTTCCTTCCTGTTACCCAGGTCATCCCTGTCCTCCTTCCCAAGTTTGTCCCCGTTGTCAGGACAATACGAGTATCCGTGATGGTGTCCCTCTTTCTTGGCCCGGTCCTGGCAGTAGCCCTTCCCCCATTTGGTTTCATCTTTGCGGCGCATGAACTTGTCAAACTCATAGTGGTGTCGCTGTCGTTTCCTCTCCTCGTCCTTCCCACGGTGATCCTTGTCCCTCTGTCTGCGGCTGTGCTGCTCTCTCTGCTCCTTGTCGCTCTCTGGCTGCCCTCTAGTGGTGAGAGTGGAGGATGCAGAGACACAAGACCCACCATTGTTTGTATTATTATATTATATCATATTATATTATATTATCAGAATTCTTGTTGGCATTTTATACTTAAATATACAATTTTTAGTCTCTTAAATCATGGAACTACAATCATATTAGAAATTAATTTAAATGTGAATGTTTTGTAGTTGTGTGTTTTACAGCCAGTCCTTTGCCTGCATGTATTTAAACCCAGTCATTGACATGAAAATGTCAATGAGTCTGGCTAAAAATTTTTCATTTTACAAGCTGAATTGCAGGTTTGTTAAATTCTTTACATGTAAGCTACAATTATAACTGTGATCATTTTGCGTTTCAAAGAGGCTTGACAGCTTTCCAAATAACTTACATAATAAATTTAAAAGTGACTTGTTCATGTTACCAGAAATCTTGACCACACCCCCTTAAAAAGTGAAGGAATTTCCCGTTTCTTACTTCTCTTTGAGATCCTTTGACTTCATCTGACCACCACTTTTCTCCCATTTTCCTCTGTCCGACTCCCCAATGTCACTTTTGTCCTTTATTCGGTCTGAATCCACGTCATCATCCCTGTCGCTCTTCTTCAGGAGCTACAGCACACATAAACCATGAGACGTAAACACTTGATCATTCTGAGACATCATCCCTGAAAGAAGAATAAACCATCTAATATGAAGCTTGTTTTCACAATTAAAGATCAACCTTTATCTTGATATCTTTCTCAGATAATTTCTTCTGCTTTTCCGCCTCTTTCCGTTTGCGCCTCTCCTCTTCTCGCCGCTTTCTTTTCTCCTCCTCTCTCTGTCGTTTCTTCTCAAGCTCCCTTCGTCTTCGCTCCTCCCTCTTCTCCTCTCTGATTCTCTGTGAAGACATATTCAGCACATGAGACGAAGTAATTGTTTGAATATTTTACTTCAACTGAGGCATCATGGCTGTTTTACCTGTTTCTCTATTTTCTTGTTTTTGATGTACTCTAAAAGCGGTGTTGTCCGTTTGGCTACAATCACAAGTAGAGAAGACAAAAGAATCTTAAATCTCATCACAATGATTCATAAGTGGGAAAAAAAGTAATTTTATAGATGTCATATTACCTATCAGCTCTCTGGTCTTGGCCTCAATCTCTCCCAGCAGAGTCTCAGGGTTTGCCATCGACTTCTCCTCATCACAGGAGTAATTCTCCAGGAACCTCCTGTATTCTGGGTCTGAAGGAGATTAAGATGATCAATTTGGCATACACTTGTGATACTGTTCATTTGAATATACTAAGAAATGATATATTGGCAGGTAAAATTGTGTTTTGTAGTGTATATCAGAACTTGGTCTTCGATCTCAGTACCTTCTTCGATGCTCCCTGCTTTTGCATCTTTCTTCTTCAGCTTCTTCTTGGAGATCTTCTGAAAGGGGGCAAACTCTACCACAGCAGGGTACTCTTGACCTGAGTAAATATTGGAATAAAAGCTGCTTATAATTTTACAGAACAGCTTACAAACAGTCACTATAGCAAATAAGTTTCAAAGCCACCCCTCTGTCCATAAAATCCCACATATAGATGTTAACCCTCCTCCTGTGTTAGGGTCTGCACCGACCCGTTTTTGTTTTTAAATGCAGTAGCTCAGGAGGTAGAGCAGTAGAGCAGTAGCTCAGGAGGTAGAGCGGTCGGCCAATAACTGAAAGGTTGGCGGTTCGAGCCCCGTCCTATCCCTTGTCTGTCCGTTGTGTCCTTGGGCAAGAAACTTAATCCACCTTGCTCCCAGGGTGTGTCCTCCACTGGTGTATGATAGTGAGTGTTGTGTGGTTGTGGTCGGAGAGGCCGTAGCCCCAAACTGGCAGCCACGTTTCCGTCAGTCTGCCCCAGGGCAGCTGTGACTACTAAGGTTGTTTACCACCACCGAGGTGTGACTGTGTGGGTGAATGAATGATGTATCCAATGTAAAGCGCTTTGAGGGTCTCTGATAAAGCGCTATAAAAAATCTGATGCATTATCATTATTATTAAAAGAACCACTTAAATTAGCTTTTTTGCATCAAGACTTTTTGACTTCGTCAGGAACCTCTATTTCAACAAAATAAAAAAATTTAATTGACTAAATTATAAAAGGCTTTTATTAAAATTCTGACACTTGTGGTGTTAGGGTTGCTGTTGACCCGGTTAGATCACTATCTAATAATTAGAGCAAAAAATGAAATCATAATTGCACTGACAGGCACCACACTGACAGTCAGATCCTCTTCCAATCATGTGAGATTTAGGAAATTCTCATTTTGCCATGGTTTTCCCTGCACAAAAAACGTCAGGCATGTCCAGACATGTGAGATCAATTTAGTATAGAAGTCTGTGTGAGGGGTACACCGACAAAGAAAGGCCCAGAGGACCACAACAAAAAATAATACAAGCAATATTTTCATGGATAATGAAGCCTAACAAGGTAACTTAGAGATGCAAACCAAACTGGATGATAGAGAAATTTTTTTAGTGTAATATACAGATGATTTAAGACACGGGTTGAACATGGTGGGTGTGTAGAGAAAGCTAACACGGGAGGAAGGTTAAACAAACTTTCTTTTGTTTGTATTTAATAAAGCAGACTGTGCCTGCAAACAAAGTCAAACTGAGCCTTAAAAGACATACCCTTATTGTCGATGAAGACATAACCATCAAATCTGTCTCTAAACAGCAGGATGTCCTCAGGGTTTTTAAAATTGATGTAAGCTCTGGAGAACAAGTGGGGATAGAGACTGTTTAGGAGCGAGAAGAAAGAGAAACAGGTTAGAGAAAAGAAGAAAGAGATTTTCTTTTGTATTGATCGATCAAAACTGTCATCGTGTTTACCTTTGATCAGCTGGAAAGAACTCAAAATAGTCATAAGATGGAAGAGGACTGAGCTGTTCCTCCAGCTGGTCTTTGGAGAGGTTAGGTGGAAGCCTTCGAATCACCACCTGTAGCAAGGACATAGAGGCATCTATAAAAATATCATTTTTAATAAATAATCCATTGATGAGGTCCTGTAAGCTAAACACTGGAATAAAAGAACTTAAATGCTGTTTTATAACACAGAAATAACAGAAAAACACAACAAAAAATGTGTTTACTACACTAATTTTAACAATAGCAGACAAACGACAGTGTAACCACCAATAATGTTGTCATTATATCTAATCAATCTTGTTGTAAATGACAAATATAATCTTGTAGCAGGTTGAGATGACAGAAAGGTGTGCTGCTGTGCTGTTGTGGTGGATGTTTCCTCGCGCTGCCCGTCGCTGTCCGCGGTGCTGAAATGTCCCCGCCTCCCTCCATGCCTCCATGTCCGTTTTCCACACGGCGTAAACAATGCGACACATCCCAAACATTCAGCTACATACCTTCGTGAAAACCTCTTTCTTCTCCTCCTTCTGCTTGGGGTTACCGGGGATGTTTTCCTGGTCTCTCTGGAGGTCTCTAAACTGTATTTCGACGACGCTTTTCTCCTTGCCCACGGTCATTTGATCCTTTTCAGACCTCATTTCTCTCCATCTCTCTCTCGCCAGTGTTAAGTCGCTGGGTACTCGCGAGAGCACAGGGATATCGCGAGAGGGGCAGCTCTGACGTTACTGTGTGTAGTCGACCTCACTTACAGATATAAAGAAATGTAAATGAACATGCAAGTTTAACTGTTTGGATGGGGATGGTTGTGGTTATTTTGGAGACCAGAATTTGTCCTTGTAATAGAAAGACTCTTTGGTCAAAATTAAAGCTGCAAATTTCCATCTCATGCTTTCTTTGGGCATCAATACATAATTTTTAAGTTGTAGTCAAAGACAGGTACTGGGTTAGCTAGGGTTCAATGTCAAGAAAAAGCAATTAGATAAAGTGCATTCCCAATATTGTTTTCTGCTCCCGTCTGGCGTGTGTCCTCGGATCAGGTTTGAACTCTGATTTGTCATACCTGGTGCCACCTCCAAATCCTGAACTATTACTGGCTGCAGAGCCGGCCCAAGGCAGAAGTGAACTAAGTGGCTACAGGAGTTTAAATAAATTTGACACCCCCTGGCTATACTAAATTAAGATTACAGGTAAACAGAGGATGAACTGGAGTCAAATATTCATTGGACTTTGCCCTCGTGGGACTATTAAAGGAACATCTTATCTTATCATCATACAGCAAACTGTAAGTAGCTTGAAAAAGTTTATAATGTTAGCCCACTGCTCTTGTACTGGTGAGGTTGGTGCTCACCCCAAACATGCATTTGAGTATTTATTCTTACAATGCAGGAAGAAAATACTGTACATGCTGAACCAACAACTAGGTAAAAGATGCGAACGATGGTAACTATTATAAAAGAACAATTCAGAATGATACTGCTCTCTCTGAGTGACCATAGCTCAAATCTGCTTTCTCTTTTACTCTGAAATGTGTGTGAATGTTTGGGTGCATTAACTAGCAGTCATATGAGCCAGAGCGAAGGCATTAGTAAGGTGTTAAAGGCAGAAAAAACATCAAGTTAGACTGTGCGCAGCGCAACTGTCTGTAATGTATTTACATGAAGAAAATGTAATGAGGGGTGTGTAAGAGGATAACCGTAATGGTTTTTCTTGTTGTATTACAACCATAGACTGTGTATACTATGGACAACTTGGTTCCGCCCTCCGCCAGTATACAAATTTGAAGCCAAAAAGCTCTTGGTAATTTCACATTTTCTCTCCATTTCCTGAAACCAACATTGTGCAGTAGCGTTGTACGCACTCCACCACTGGCGCCTTAGCATTGTACGCATTCGCCAGGAGAGTCGCCGTGATGACGCTCGATTCGAACAGCGTATCCCCTGGGTGAGCTACGCAATCCTTGTACGCTCATAAGCTGTATCAGGTGCCAATCATAGAAAACATGAACCCCTTAATAACTTTAAAAACTGAGCTGTACAGAAAAAAGAGGACTTGAGCACAAACCAGTCTTACAGTAACTACATGGCAACATCACAAGCAGGGGGGAGAAAAATGTATATTCTGTGTAATAAATTTTTAAAGTTTGTACACAGCCCCATAAGCTTTGCTGGCAGAGGCGGGATTTATGACCTATACTGCAGCCTGTCACTAGAGGGTGCTGTTCTCAGAGTGGCGTCATCCAGCGAGGAGGCAGACACTGTCCATTTCATATACAGTCTATGATTACAACCCACTCCACACCTGTCTACCAATGTTTAACTTAACCAGCCGTATTAGCCTTGTGGTTCGAAGATAGAAAAAATCCTAAAACTTTGCCTGAGAAACTATAATCCAATATTAGTCATGTGATTTCATTTGTACAAAAAAAAATAGGGTCATGACAAAAAAACAAAAACCATATACAGTATATCTCAAAATCTGTATTTTTCTTCTCAGTAGAAACAAAATTCACCTTTTATACAGCTTCATTTGGAACAGAGGAGATAGTGGACAACACTGAAATGAGTAAGGGACTGGAAAATGGTGGTGTTACAACCATCCCTGGTCTCCCCTACAAAAAATGTAGGCTGGATGGTTAAAAGATTGAAATACAATAAGAACCACTGCATCTCGCAAAATTAATTAATTCATTTTAAAAAATCATGGTTTCATTGTCTCACGTTAATCAATAGAAAAATAATCTTTAAATGGACCCTTGGCTTCAGATGTGTTTTTCCACTACCCACACCCGCTCCCATTAAACCAGATTTAGTCCGAGAGTCAGAGTTAGGCTGTCCCAAAGCCCTCCGTATCACTGTTCAGATCCGGAGTCGGACTGCAGGGCGTCAAGCTCAACTGATCCGCAAGGCACGAGCAACCCGGGGGGCTCCACGACTCTGTGCACGAGGACTGACTCACCGACCGACTGAGGGCATCTCTGCTGGGGACTGAGGGGAACAAATGACCAGAAAACTACATCAAAATGTGGAGTATCGCTCTACTAGACAAGAGTATCACATGTGGAAAAAAAAATAATGGATTTACTGACCGCACACTCACCGCTCAGAAAGGCTTGTCTGCCGCCACTGGTCTCCTCACAGTGCCGAGGTTTCTCCGGTGTGGACACCGAGCTCTTTAAGCTGGGGACAAAAGTAGAGCAGGTTTCCAGGTCCCGACAGACCCTGTCCTGTGTGTAAATGACGGCAGACTTAGACGGAGTACAGCCCATCTCTCTTTGAAGTAGGAAATCCGCTCTCCATGAGGGAAAGAGCCCGAGAGGAACAGAGAGGGTCACCTGCGAGTCCAGCTGGAGGATCATGGACCTCCGTCCCTTCTTTGTTCCCTCCTCACTCCTCCCCTCAAACCAAGTATGACAGCCTGGGGGATGGCTTGAGCTTGAATGTGTGCAACCAAACTACTGTACATCACATGACATGGTTGACAGTTTTAAAGATACAAACGTAAAAGTTAAAGTGATATTCCAGCATAAAATTAATTTAGGGTCAAACACACCGTAACACCGAGTTAGACACCCCCTCCAGAGATGAATGTTGCTGACCACTTGCTTCTCTAGTTATACCAACTTTAATAACGACCGCACGATAGCAGTACTCAGCAGTCTGAGGAGCCGGTAGTTCCTCTGTCTCAGTGTCTCGGTCTGATTGTATTTCCATGTATTTCCGTCTCTCTGCTAAAGAAATCAGGCGAAGTTAAAAGATGTTTGGTGGCTATATGCACTGTTGATGAAGTTAGGTGCTGTTCTGAGCATTATTTGTGTTTATAGAGTGGCGTTTTGGTTGAGGTTTGTGTATGGCTCCTGGGACCACTGTGTATTGCTATAATGCGGTTGTTAAACTTAAGTTGGTAAAACTAGAGAAGCAAGCAGTAGGCAACATTCATCTCTCAAGGGGGTGGCTAATTTGGTGTTACAGTGTGTTTGACCCTAAATTAATTTTATGCCAGAATTTCCCTCTAAAGTGAAGGAAAAGGGAGGACCTGCCCTGTTTTTTCATGTTCTTTACTTTAGAAATCAACCCTTTTTAATGAACATAAAACACACTCTCATATCTTAAGATAAATGCACGGTTTATTGTATTAATTACCAAGATGTGTTATTTTTTCAGCAAAACTGCTTGAACTGATCTGGCTCTTTATTCAAGGTGTAAATCCACAGGTTAAGCAACATGGGGGTCCTGCCATAGGCAGCATTATTAATAAGTGACTAGTCTTCTCTGTGAGGCGAGGTGTCTGGCTGTGTTTGCTCTGTTCAATCAAGCGTCAGAGGACCACATGTTCCCAGCGTCTTCGGGAGTAACCCAAGGTTCAAAACTATAAGTACTCACACCTAAAACCAAGGCACGTGTTAATTCCCCTTTTAAAGCGCTTTCTTGCTAAACTAACTCATACATTTCCTCAGAGTATTCAAAACTGGTGTGTTGCTCTATGTTTACAGCTCTTTACAGAAACAATCAGATCTGATGCACAAGAGGGGGAATCCACAGGAAACCTTTGGTGGAGGACGGATGCCACGGTTTTGGTTCGATTCACTGGGTTCTGTATTGTGTCTCTATGACAACATGTTGATGACAGTTCCACCTCCACACAAGATGACATCACGTACTAGTGTCAGACAAGGTGTCTAACATGACATCACTCTCGTACATGTCACACTCTAAGGTTAAAGAGAGCCGCAGGGGCGCCTCCAGCATCATCTTGTCCTGATTCGAGAGTGGTGTTTCCATTGACGTGATGCTGGTGTCTTCTAGCCTCGGTGTGGCCATAAGGTCACTGGACTCTGTGGTGTTCAGCACCTTCATCAGAGCTGGAGTGTTTAAGCTGCCTCGCACCTTATCGTTGATGTCAGTGCCTGGGTTGGGGCAAACAATGACACATCATTTTACGCAGTGATATGTACAAAAAAGTGGTCTCAATGGTACAGTGGCTGAGAACCGCCACTGCTGCAAATAAAAAAGAATGCAAAAAAAAAAAAGAAGCCACAACGGAAGTTACCAATGAAAAAAAAGACACCAAAGCCCGCTGCAAATAAAAAAAAAAAAGGCTACAACGGATGTTAACTACAAAAAAAAAGTGGTGATGCAAAAAAAAAAAAAAGTTACCTACTTTACTTACTGTAAAAATAAAAGGATACAAATAAAAAAAAAGCCACAACGGAAGTGAGCTGCCAGGGACCAATAATGAAAAATAGCGAGGGGTCTGTGTACTTATGTCTATGAGTAAAGCAACCGAACTGTACAGCTACCGTACTTTACTCTCCTCTTATAAGTGGTCTTTCGCGGCGTAGTGGGTTTCCTGTGTTAGCCAAAATGAACACTACACCGGCATCCTCCCGTTCAACTTCATACTGACTCGGGCGCAACATCGCCTAATCAAATGACAGATTAAAAAGCACATGAAGCGAAATTCAACAATAACCTTTCCACTTACTTCTTTGCTTGTCTTCTCGCCGTCGTCTTCTGTGGCTAGATCGTAAAACACCGGTGAATCATCACTATTGGTTTCCGCCAGCTCACTTCTTATTTGCATTCTTTTATTTTTGCAGGAAGTAACTTTTTTTTCTTTCGCATCGCCACTTTTTTTTTTTGCGTTGTTAACTTCTGCTGTGGCTTTTCTTTTTCCGGCACCGTTTCTTTTTTTATTTGCAGCGGGCTTCCGTTTTATTTTTGTTTTTTCTTGCATCGCTAATTTCTGTTGTGGCTTCCTTTTTTTTTTTGCATTCTTTTTTATTTGCAGCAGTGGCGGTTCTCGGCCACCGTACAATGGGAATAAAGCCTTTTTTCAAATATACAGCTCCTTAAAGCTTAAACCAAAAACCTGTTTCTTACCTATATAGGCATCCGTGTCACCGATGTACATCTCAATGCAATGGCCGAGCATCGTCACAGAGAAAGTGTCGTCCCTTTTCAATCCAAGTGCCTGCACAAACACCAACATCGTGTTTTACTTTTTGTGCCATTAAAAACCTTACTCAATTCTTTTTTTTGTCTGAATTTTCCATATCCAACTTTTTTGATGTGAGACAGAACTAAAAACAGAGGGGTAAAGATGATGAACTATACCGTGTGAAAGTAGTCAATAGCGCTCTCAAAGTCCCCCATGAGGCTGTGCACATATCCTATGGCAGCGTAGGTGGAGGCGTGCTGAGGGATCAACACCAGAGCCTGACGGTGGTACTCCAGAGCCTGGTCGTACTTTCTACAGACACAAATTTTTCTGTTAGTGATTTTACTCATGTGATCGAACAAAATACACATCAAACAGTAAACTAAGATCATGTCTTAATAAAAAAATTAAAAAAACATTTCTGTGTTTGTTTAGTCAGCTGAGCTGGCACTCTGACAATGACTTGTGGGAGATTTTCCCATTACACTCTGTTTGAAGTACTCTGTTTGACAGGCCACGCAGTTCTAACACTTTGCTCAACCCCGTCTTCCAAACAAAAGGCCTGACCCCTGCAGGTGGACACTTTGAACGAAGGGGTAGAGTCAAAAAGTAAGAGGTTGTCAGAGCTCATTATGAATGTGGACAACCTTTGATCACATATTTAATGTGGGTAATCCTTGGTCTTGTGACTCCATGATACACAGTAAAAACAAACCGGTATGAAGCCGAACCGAATCAGAGACATATGGAAAAAGACTTCTCTAAAAGCACATACACGCCTGCGTATTAATTTAGTGACATATAAAGGATTATAATTGTGGATGATGAACCGCAGATGAAGCCCTCTTGGAATCAAAACTATCCAAACCTTTTAACACAGCCACTTGTGTGGCGCACAATCCGCAAGCCCCCTTATATCTATTGAGTGGTGGCTATGCATAATTCATTAAAGGGTCTTTTCATGAATTCTAAATGAGGGCACTGCCTCTGCTGAATGACTGGAACAGAACAAGTGAGCACATCTGTGAAATAGTTTGGAGCAGGCAGGTGAAGGGGAAAAAAAAGGTAAGGAGAGGAATGAACAAATTAGAGGAGAGTGCACTCTGACCAATCTTCTTTCATCATCCACTCAGGATAAATTTAGCCTCCCGTACAAGCTCGACGTGTGCCCGCTCAAAAGAGGTCCTGAAATCTGTGATGCCATTTAGAGAAAAGGCACAACTTCAAGTGCAAGTCTGTCTCCTATCGAGCACTCGAGACCTTTCAAGATCACTAAAATTGGCACCATACTTACTTCAATTTCCGACACACATGACCCAAGTTGTTTAGCAGTGGCTCCCATTTGTCCACAGTGACCTAAAATTGAATAAGAACAAACAAAGGTAGCTTTTTAGTGATGTTTTTTTAAACGCTTACAGTTGCACTCATTATTTTTTTCAATAAATTCAATTTCATTCACCTCGTTCCCTATGGCTTTGATTTTCTCCATTGCATCAAGAAACAACTTCTCAGCTGTTTTCCAGCTGAAACACAAGATCAAAAACACAAAACACTTTTTGATGAACAGGATATTAGTATTTGTAATCTGTGTTGGCCGAGTAAAGTAGGGGTGGGAGAAAAAAATCGATACAGCATAGTATCACGATATTTTGTCTGGTGATATATCGTATCGTCTCATTTACCAAGTATCGATTTTTCAAATTAATTGCTAAGATGAAGTCAAATCTTTGATAATGAAAAAATAAAATCAACTTTTGTCCAGTGAGGTTGGCAGAGGTGACATAACACAGCAGGAGAAAGTTAGTGCAACAAATATATACAACATGACAATAAAAGACAGCATAAAATGAGACAAACACAAAGGAAAGACAAATGCTAAATTTGTTTAACAGTTGAAAAAATTGTATCAATCGCAATATATTGTATCGCAATACTCACTGTTTTCAAAATGTCAAAAAAAAAAAAAAAAAAAAAAACCAATAATATCGTATCGTGGCCCAATTATCGCAATAATATTGTATTGTCGGGCCATTAGTGATTCCCACCGCTGGAGTAAAGTGCTACTACAACCCATCTTTACACATCAAGTGCATTATAATCTACGTTTAATTCAGCATGTATTTGTTGTTTTGTTGCAGACATTTCTCTTTGATATGACAGTGATCATTTAAAACACAACCAGGCAAAAAGACCCTGCAGGTCAGGGGCTGAAGCAGGTCACCCAGAATAGATCATGAACCGATCCTCCCTCTACTGTTCTCAATAAACTCCCAAGTCCTTTTGTGACTTTATTTCATTGATTGCAGTAGATTGTAATCCTGGTACGTGGACAGTACATGCATTTATGTTTGAAAATAGAGTTCACAGTGTGATATAATAGCAGCTTCTAAGTTACCTCCGCTCTGTACCAACATTTGTTCCTGCAGCAATTGACGTTTACGTCGAACAAAAGGTCTAAATGTGACTGTGAGTGTTTTTGTGTGAATGACTCACTCTCCATTCTGAAAGGCGACCACGGCCACCTCGTGAATGACGAACGGGTCCTCTGGAGCGATACTCAGAGCCTGGCTGAAGAACCTTTCGGCCAGTTTGGAGTTGTTGGTCAGACCGTACTCCAGGCCGATGTAGAGCATGGGTAAGTGACATCTGGAGGAGAAAAAGCAGGAGGCGTTTGCTGACATCATGTTCTTGTCAAGTTTATCATGCTGTTCGGCCTCTGATCTTAATCTGCTTCTCTCAAGGACCCCAAAAAGCAGCCGAAAGTATCTTACCCTTTCATTAGCTGTGCAGCTGTGAAGTAGGCAGCCATGGCTTGGTCGTGCTCACTCTCCACTGCAAATGAATGTCCATAAGCAATCCAAGCAGGACCGTATGTCCTCTCCAGAGTGGTGGCTTTGCTACAGGAGACAGACGGTACCCTACATTAATAGTTGTGGTGTGCTGTTTACTGCACTCTCAGCAGGAAATTCATTTTCAGTGATCTAGAGCTGATCGGTCCATCTCAAACATTTTCATCTCATTGTCATCTTCTATATTTCTCAGGATTTTTGCAATCAGTGACATGTTTTAGCTCATGGTCTTGTCCTTATAACAGAAAAAAAGGATTGTTGATGAACATTTAATGTCATAACTTTGTCGTAACATGTCCCCCATACAGGAGATGATTCTGGTCCAAATAAGGACTCAGCTGCAAATGGAATACTGGTCATCTCAAAGGCGTTTTCTTCCAATCGTCCTGTAAAAAAATCCAACTCCGACCCCTGGGAAACCCTCCTACTCGAACTAACCTGAGGTATCGCCGGGCGTGTTCGTTTTTGTGGCCAACCATGAGATAGTAGCAGCCGACAGCAAACCAGGATACCTACGAACAATTACACCAGTTCAGTAAAATTTTAATGAAGAAGGGAGAAAAAATGTGCACTGATCGGACGAAACTCTTACCGGGTTGTTGGGATACAAGTCTACAAGTTTGTGCGAGAGGTAAAATAACTCTACAGGAAAAAAACAGACACACACACACAAAATAGGAGATAAGCATCATTCTGGTTATTAGAACAAATCATGAAACCAAATTCTCTCCATGTGCAAACTGAAGATGACTTTACCATTTGCTTTTCCAAGCTCCACCAGAGTTCCTATGTGGACTGGTAGACAGTTGGCATGGAATGGGTCTTTAACCATCACCCTGTTATTCAAAACAACAACAACAACAAAGCTGCATTTAACACTCCAGCATTTTTGTGATGACATCTGACTACTGAGACTTTGACTCTACAGGTATAAAGTCTACTAACCTACATCATCTTTGAATTAACCTGTCGCTTCAAATTTATTCAAATAAAACATTCATTTTGAGTGATCTTAGTAGGTTTCATTAACTATCTAAATCAGAGGAAAATACAGATGATTGATGGAAAATAAATAGATATGTAATGAGTGAGACGTCTTTTAAGCATCAAACTCATCATCTAAGTACATCTGATGAAACACACATTTTTACACCTACATTGATGTGAGTTTGTAGCACATCTTGAAATCGCAGTTATAATAATGCCTCTCTGCAAGAGACACCACTACATCCAGGTTGTCCTGAAGACCGTTGACCATCTCTGGCACCACCACATCACTGGGCTTGTTATACTGCGGAGAGAGAGAGGGAGCGTTCATGTGTTCATACACGCGTGTGAAGATGGGCGTAGGGTTTGAATGTGAGTGGGTGGGAGAGGAGGAGGCAGGAGATGGTTGAAGAGGAGTTTGAACAAAAACATGCTTGAATACTCATAATAGACATTAGCATTTCAATTAGTTGAAACCATATATGAGTGAACCTTGAGCGAGGCAACAAAGGGAAGAGGCACTTTTCTCCATATGAGCTCAGATGAACCAATAGGCAGAGCAGTGTATCTGGGAATGACTCAGGATAATATGAAGTCCTTATGTTCATTGTAATAAGGGAAGACAACAATAAACAACAATTTGTCGCCAGCACACACGAGTACGGTGGCCCTGAGGTGCAAAACACAAAAGCAAATCAGAAAATACAACACAAAAACAGGAAACACAATGGTTAATGCTGCTGTGTTTTCTCTTTTTGTGTTGTGTTTTCTGATTTGCAATTGTGTTTCGCACCTCAGGGCCACCGTACATGAGTACCCAAGTGTATAATTCTTACACGGTAAAGGCAAAACTTGGATTTTTTTGTGGGATTAATTTACAATAAAAATAGTATCCAACAACATTAGACTTATCATGTTATTAGTTATCTAATCAATGAGCAAAAGCAAGAAAAAAAAAGACAGAGCTCCCCCCACCTTCTTTAACTTATTCTCAAACAGGAAGTGTAACAGCTCCTCCTCCTCTTCAGTGCACTGTTGACTCAGAGGAAGTGAGTCAAGGAAGTCTTTCTCTATAAGGAAAAAAAAGGAAATGCAGATTTCACATGTGATGTCATTTAACCCGTAGACAACAAACACTCAAAGGCAGATAAGTGTAGAGAATTTGAAATCAGCCTCACCTTCCTGTGCCGTCAACATGTGGTGGGATGTTAAAAGGTCAAAAGCTTCAAAGCAGTAGACGTCCAGTTTCAAGGCCTCTTTGTAGCTGGAGGTGGCCAGTGGTCTGTTGTCCATGGCATCATAGATCTTACCCCGCAGGAGGCAGATGGAGCTGCTGACCTGGAGCATTTCAGAGGAAAACAGGAAGTGCGGAGGAGTGGGCAGAGGTCGGGATCGAGTTCATATCCTGAATTTAACTCTGAAGTCCATTTAATGTCCAAGATTCTCTCAAATGATCAAAAAGACTGGAGCAAAGTAACATTTTCAGCTGTAATTACTTTGGTTATTTTTGTAGTTAAACCAACAGATAAACTTGATTGTTTCCAGCGTTTCATACAATCTAAATTATTATCAAGGACAGAACCTCGAGGGGCAAAGCAATCATCTCATTATTGACCACGAGGAAGAGATGAATCCAAGAGTTACAGACACTTTTGCTCAAAGTGATATATTATATATCTGAGAGTAAATACAACTCAAGCAAAGACCCCTACCAGGCAGCAGGGGATATCGTCAGTAACTGCTGCTCACCGCTTTAAGGCCAATCGGACACAGGTGCTGACATGAGTGCTGCAGGCAAAGTACAAGCAGTTTCTTTTCTACACAGAGCCAGCACAGGTCAGTGTCTACATTCTGCGTTTTTCTCTCTCATTTTTTTAAAAATCATTTTGTTCGTTTCTGCGCTCACAGCACTCCAAGTTGAAAGCAGTTCAACTTTTGGAACCCTGTTGAACCTGCCAACGTCACATTTCATACATCGATCAATCAAAATCAAGAAAGGGCAGGACCTCTGCTATCAACTTTGTCAAAAACAATGGCATAGGTCCATACAGAGGAGAAACTAACCACATTCAGATTTTTGAGGGTACTGCTGATGCTCCAATGTGGTTTTTGTCAAATGTTTGCTACTTCCTGCCTTTGGTCTAATGAACTTCATCAGAGTTCACTTGGAAGTGAAACCAGACCCCATTTTCAAGTGAACTTGAGTTAATTTGTTCGGTCTGCACTAGAGTTCGCTCTGTAGCCTCCAAAGTAACATCAACAGCATGAGAAAAGACCACATCACGAAACATAACAAATAAGACCTGAGCTGTGTTCACTCTAATACAGTATTTCAGTAGCAGCCTGGACTCACAGAGGCTGGAGACATGTCCCAATCCTTGTTGGACTCTGATGTTGTGTTGTCCTCTTTCGCGCTTCTGTCCAGCAGCTTCTTACTAGCTGGTTCCTCTGCATCCAGGATATCCAAGGCCTGCTGGAACTCTTTGGCAGCATACTAAACACAAGAGGAGCACTTTGATTTAAGACTTTGAATAACTAGCAGGCTTGTCTTGATTGTATGTCACAGTTTTTAAAGCACTTGAAAGAAGGCTTACAGCTGATAAAGGTGTGTTTATTTCAGCTACTTACATGGCACCTAGCAGCAAGATACTGACACGCTCCATACAACTGTGTGTGAGAAGACAGATATCAATTTAGATTGAGTACAGGTGTAAAGGAAATTACACTGCTGATATTACTGTGATATTACTTTTGATGCTTTGATACCCCTCTATACTGTCAGCTTTCAAATGATACAGTACCTGCTATTTCTACCTTTAACTGTATCAAAAAGAACTGCTGCCTAGATATATAGATATAGATAGATATAGATGGATATATACTTTCAACCAGAAGCTGTGAGAAATTTGACCTTTTCATCAAAAATAAAAATGTAGAAGTGTTGACAAATTCGAATTTGGAGCTGTTGTATTTGGTTGCATTTGATTGCCCAGGTGTTTATAATATCACGGCTGGTTGGTAAATATGTTTACTTTATAGTCATGCCTCATAGGCTGTTGATTGAGGGGCTACAATGATGCCCATGAAGCAACCAAAGTACTGTGGAAATTTCACATACAGAGCGCACACTCTTTGCAGTTACAGACAACACCAGACAAATCTCATTTCACGCCTTTCATTAATCAACAATATGTCAAATGTTCTGATCTGTATGTCAGGTCTGTGCTCTGAGCCTTATTCCTAACAAAGTCAGAATTAACAAATACAATCATTTTTGTCGCTTCAGTATCAAAACAAATATCAATATCAATACTTCTAAAATCGTATCGAGATTAGAAATTCTAGAAACGTGACGAATCTAATTTGTATAATTCACATAAAATCTATCATCAGGCTGTTGTCAGAGAGTGCTAACCTCTCATTTGCACTTGTTTACAACAACTGGTTCACGACCTGCAGTTACCTTGTCAAGTTTCCTTGAGCGGAGGGCATGAGAGGCTCTGTGGTACTGAGAGGTCAGGTAAAGGCACTGAGCTAGCCAGTAGATATCCTGGGGATCCTCTGGATGACAAACAGAGTCAGAAAGCTGTCATGTCAACAAAACACCCTCAAGATCTGCAGCTATTATCACCTCATCAGGCGTCCATGAACACCGTTATCTAGCAGAAGTTTCACATAAGTTAGAGGCTGTACAAAGAGTAAATATCCCCCCCATATGAAAGGCCGATCCTCGTAGCATTAGCTTTGTAACTCTGGGAATATTAGTAGGTTAACTTTGCAGCAGGCTGCAGCTCCTTACAGAGCCTTACTTACCGTGGGAGAGAGATGCGATCTTGTCGGCCCAAAAGAGAGCACTTTGATACTGTTGCTGCAAATAGACACAGATAAACAAAACAGAGCAAAATCATACAGGTTAGTAGATTATTGATGTCCTTCTAGCTGAAATCTGACCGGTTAAAAAAACTGCTGAGGTTACGTTACTGTTGACGCCAGCTACGCTCTCAAGCTAGCCTAAGCTAACAGCTCATAAACTCTTCTTTCGTACCTGATCGATGTACTGTCGGACCCGCTTCCGAAGTCTGTCAAGATTCATGTTTATCTCCTTCACTTTTAGTCCTGGATATCAAATTCTTGTCATTCTTACAAACTATGTCCTGTGTAGTATAAAACAGTGCACAGCCCAGGATGTTTTAGCTTGCTAACGGCGTCAAATCAAATCCGCGGCTTCTTTCTGCACAGTGTGTTCCGCGATATTACGCCGTGCTGAAACTTGCACCGAATCCTTTGTTCCGCATAAGGTCTTGTATTCTGTTGGTCTTTCAGTAAAATAATTATGATATACAGTATATTAAAGAAAATCTGCAGGCACATTAACCCAGAGTGTTTCATCCACTGTTGAATTAATCACACTCAGTCACTTTTAAACTTACTTTTACAGACTTACTTTTATGTTATGCTGTCTTCTATCTTTTTTATCTTTTACCTCTATCTTATTTTGATTTACTGTTCTTTTAGCCTTTGTTTTACTTATAATCTTTTCTTATTCAAACTTTTAGTCCTTTTATCGATTTTATTGTTTTTTCCTGCTCATTTTTTGTTATCCCATTTTATCATTAATATTACTATCATTATTATTTTATTAGGATTTTATTATCATTATTAATATCATCTTTTTACATTTACCATCCTGTTTCCTGCTTTCTACGCCTCTTTTTATTACATTTCTTTTTCTTACCTGTTTTATTTTTTTATTTAGGTCTTCATGGTCTCACTTTATGTTGTAGGGTTCTTGTATTGTCTGGGTTTCTTATGACATATGAAATTGGCCTTCAGTTCAGAGGCCTTGTTTTTAACTGAGCTTTTGTTTTTTATTTGTTTTATTCCCATGTGCTGATGCTTTGAAACTGTTTGTCAAAGCACTTTGTAAACTTCTGTTTTTAAAAGTGCTAGAAAACTAAAATTATATAAAGTTATAAATCTCAGTACCATTTTTTAAATTCAAATTATGTCTGTTTTTAACATATCAAAAAAAAAAAACTCTGTAAAAGCCTCTGTGAGGAGTTTTTGACGTACAATGAAACAGATTCAAAGTGATATAAATGCTTCTTGATGAGCTACAAAAACAAACAAGACCATCAGATAAGACTGATAATAGGTACATTATTTTTTTTAACATTATTTTACCCTGCAAAGGGGTAGGAATCAAATCAGATTATTGAGAGCAAGCTAAAGAAGCATGGTTACAGATTTTTTAAACAGTAAATATCCACAATAAGCAACATATTTGACCTTTGAAAGACAGCACAATACATCTTTTTTTTTTTTTTTTTGGGGGGGGGGGGGGGGCAGAAAAAAACACCTTGGCATGTACAAGACAATACAACAATGCTTTAAAGGATGTTTACGTTTACTCACATGGGGCACCAAAATAAACACAAAAGTTCCTAAAAAGGCTAATCTCCAAGAAATAGGTTACTCTCAAGTGACAAGGATGGCTCTTTTAAGGCCTCAGAGAGAGCTCCTTTTGTGTGCAGAAAACACAAAATTGACAAAATTACAGGTATTATGCTGGACTTGCAGTCTCTGCTTGGTGTGATGCAGGTGTGAGAGGAGTGTTGGGCATTTCACATCCATTAGGGAGACGCTTAAGAGATGCTTGAGGGGCTTTATTGGTTGTAACTTGAATGGTGTTGCTGGGGTGGGTAGGTTACTCAGGGATCTCTGCTTTTGAAACTCCCCCATCGCCACCTCCCCTCTCTTCCTTTTTCTCAGACATGCTTGTAGTGCTGTGAGCGGCTGCGTCTTGACAGATCTTTTGAGCATTATGACAAACACTGGACTCCTTTGTGGATTTCTCCTGTCCCTGCACACATGATAAACTCATTTGTAAAAGTGCAGATCATTTAAGAGGTTAGACATAATTTTGGTTCTAAAATAACAGCAGCAAGTTACTCTACTCAAAAAGAGATGACCTTCTTCAGCTGATTTGCGCTTCCTCTGGGGTAACGTGAAATGCTGTCTATCAGCTTGAGATGTTTGTGCCAGTCTTTCAGCCAGCTCCCAACATCATAGGTTGGTCTGCAGTGGTTCAGGCGGGACAGCATCTTCTGATTCTCTTTATTAATACAGAGCTGCTCTTGTTGTTTTTTCTCCTTATTGGGGCTGAGATGAAAAACCGAAACAAGCTTCAGAATTGTGTTTTCTTAGCAATTCAACATGTTGTTTACTTGAATTTCAACCAACCTGATTTTGGTGTAATAATTCCAGTTGTCGACCCCTCCAGTTGTCTTCTTGATGTGGGAGATTTTATCGGAAATAATACTGTTCTCCCTCTCAATCTTACTTATCCTCTCCTTTAAAAGCGTAAAGCAATAACAAACAAAATGAATGTTAATAACTCACAGTAAGGTCCTGTAACACTCTTGAAGTAAAAATCTGAAGTGCCGCATTTTATACAGTTAGTTTGATGAAATTTATTTGATTGAAAGAGGTATTCTTTAAGTGCAAATAAGTTCCACGGTAATAGACTTTTAACCAAATAAAACTCCACTAAAGATGTTTGAATACCGTACATTACTGTAGCATGTTATAGGGAAAATTGCACCAAAAAATGGGGAGAAATTTTTTTAATAGTCAGTTATTTTATATATTTTTGTCCCCCTGCATTGTTTAAACACAAAACATGCTACGTGTATAACATAAGTAGAGCCAAAAACAAGAAGAAAACAAACAAACCCTCTGCTTCATCAGCCCATGAGCCTCGTGAACATAGGTCTTCAGCGGAGGAATCTTTATCACTGATTTTATCGACTTTACCTGAAGTGGGAGGAAACGTACAGCATTGAAAATGGTGACTTTTTTAAACACACTTACTGATTGTTCTTACAGACGCCTAAGGTCCCAAAAAAGATAAATTTTTGAATAATGTGCACTTAATTTACTTTCTTTTGCACTTGATAAAATTATTTTGTGGGCACAAGTTGTAAAATTATGATTCACAAAGATGACATGATATGTTAATGTTATGATTTACTCGAGCAGTAGGGGAGAGTTGGGTAAGATGAGCCATTTCTCATATTTCAGATCACTACATCAAGGCAATCATAGTTTTGTCTCTAACTAGTGTATCTGCATATATTTCAAGATGTTGTGCATCCCTGCAAACCAAACTCTGATCCTCTCATCAGACTTCTTTACTTTCTCAGTCGAGACACTGGCTCAACTTACCCCTGAACTACTATTATGACTTTATTAGTCCTCTAAGCAAAAATGGTGGACTTTTATGTTAGGTTTTTGACCTGATGTTGAAGCTCATAGATACCACAATTGATGTATAAAACAAAATTAAAATGATCTTTTTTGGTCTGAACACAATTCTTATAAAACTTATAACAGACTAAATTCACTTTCAAGAGTGAAAAATGTTTTTTTTTTTTGGAAATAAATGTCTAACCCCTTCACCCATGTGCTTCTAACCTGCACAGACTCCATGAATTGATGCCCATCTCCTAAATATTTGGTCACGTGATCAATTTCTTTCCAAGCAACAGGGGGTGGCTCAATTTACCCTTTGGCTCAACTTACCCCACTCCCTCCGATCAGATATGTTTCTTAGTACAGGCTAACCTTCTCCCTGTGTAAGTCATATGAAGCCTTGTCCCATCGATACTGCAGATATTTGTTTGCACAGGGGAGCACGGGCTGATATGCCAGATGTGTCCTCGAGGTCCTGTCAAGACTCAAATACAAGTTAGCTACCATAAGTTCAAATTCAGTTATCCCCCATTCAAATAACACATAATCTCCAGTGTTGCGGTTAATCATCACGTTAAACTAAACAGTAGTCATTTAATCTAACCCGGTCCATCTGACTCACCTTGCAGACTGTGGCCCCCCTGTCTTGTTCCTAGCAGGACTCGTCATTGGTCGATGGTGGTGTTGATGCTCCGAAGCGTCCAGCTCAGTCACCGCAGTCTGTTTAATGTCTGCCGTACCCGGTAACCATGACAGCAGCTGGAGATGAATGAAAGGTTTTCAACATAGACTGTACGCTTTCAAACGATGTGCTTGTTTGGCCAGTTTTTCGCTGGGGCACGCGCACAGGCCGAGCGTGCATGCGGCTAATTAGTGGGGAGCTCGTGGGGAGGGACTGAGAAATGAGGCACTGTGTGAAGACACCGATTCCCAGGAGCTCAAAGCCGAAAATGAACAGGAATAGAAACTGAGTGAGAGTTAGACATTTCCTCACGCCATTTTGATACAGAAAGGATGATAGGACAGTGCCAAGTCCCATTATTATCATCCTATCAAATTATTTTTACAAACTAAAGCTTTTAAAGTCAACTTCAATTTAAAATATTGTCAACAACATATCTGCCTGACACTTTTTAAGACTATCAAGTAGTTTAACATGTGTGTAAATATTTTCCTTTATAATTTTCTATATTTGATCATTTCAAAACAATTTGTTTATATATTTACAAAAGAACGTAAATGGGAGGTTCAGGTTTTATTGTTGGTCATTAATGTTTTTAGCCTCCGTGAGTGCCATAAAAATAAAGTTGAATTTTAATTTGATAAGATACATGTAAATGCATATGTATAACTGAATGTGTAATTGTCAATTATTCATTATTGTTGAGGTATATTGTTATGACTTGTTTGTAATTATTTGTTTCAGCAGTAATAGTCGTTCCTATTCATGGTGATAAAACACTCTGAACTTCTACATACAAAAGAGCAAAAGACATTGAATGTACAATAACAGTAGATAATAGCCGTTTAGTATAGCATGTGATAATGAAAAGCATTATTAAAGAGGTCAAGGTCAGGCAGGCTACTGTATTCTCCTTTACTGAGGCATACAAACAACAGCCATGGTAACAATCACCTGGACACCTTCAACATTCAAACTGAATATAAACTAAGGGAGATACACAGAGAATCTACTATTATTAACCAAACTATAATTGAGTAGTATTAGATTATTAAAGCCTCCAATATGTAAAAGGAAAGTAAACAAACAAAGCTCAACAAAAGCCCACACTGCTTTATGAATTGCTGCAAAATCATATTAAGTTATGTTATCATGTAAGGTTGCCTATTTAATGTTGGGGTTTAAATGACACAGTTGAACAAATCAGCAAGGGTTTGTTGAATGAGTCCCATTGAGCTGGTTTGACTTCATGAATGAACATTTAAGTCACAATACTCCCCCCTAGTGGTTACAGATGGTTAGGATGGTTTATGGTGCATTTGTTAATAATTCAAATCCCACTCCAGGATGAACAACCAAGGCACTCATGAAAACTGAAATAGACTAAACTGAAAGTGAACATTTTGTTACACTTTCAAACCCAGCATGATAAACCAAATTAAAGCAATAAAAGACTCAGTTGACCCTTGAGAACTGGTCAAATAAACTCAATATGAAACACCCACATATGACATTGACGCAATGCAGGCAAGCAATTACACAGGTATGACTTTGCAAGTATGATGCCAGACAAACCAGGTATATAAAGCTGCAGCTGTAAAACAAAAAGTGATTCTTCACGTTTGACATCTCCCAATACAAGCAAATTAATTGTGTCCCCCAGCACGGTCATATCTCTGTGCATAAAGAAGCTCTCATGAATGAATTATAGACAATAAAACGTTTCCAGTCCAATTTGCTACTTCATTGTAAAGGAGGAGACGTGCAGCTTGGAAGTGTGGCATATACACAGGAGATAAAATGGAGACTGATACTAAGGGGCATCCATGTTTCATAATGCAACTTCTCAAATGTATTCAAATAAAGGGAAACCCTTGAGAATATATACTCTGTATCTCTAATAACAACATGCACGTGAAAATCTCTTCGTCTGGTTAATTGTGGTTAAAAAATAATAATAAAAAAAAACCCCACAAAAAAGTCAAACATTTGTTTTGCCCCAACAGTGTCACCATCATTTACAAAGGAGGTAATGATGCATTTAAGATAATTAGTCTTGTTTTTATGTTCAAAACAGCAGGGGAAGCAAACTGTTCCAGTAGAGTCTCACAGGTGGATCTTCCATTGCACTGGTGTGGGAATAAAAACAAAGGAAGATACTCTCTTTGGGACAGGTGGGGTACAGAGGAGCTGATAGACATATAAACAATGTGTGCATGAACACAAGTCCAGACTTTTGAAGCAGAAATGCGTACTTTGAGATTTGTCTTTCAAATAAAATCTTACAAATAAAATCTATTATTATTATTATTATTATTATTATTATTATATTTGAGAAGTAATTAAAATGTATCTTTTAAAGATAAAGACATAAACTTAAATATTGGAAGTGGTTAAAGCTCCTGTAAAGAGGCATTATCTGACTATGAAATCTGGTCACCAAAATAAATTCTAACACCTTGATTTGACCATTGAAGCTGAAAAGACTCTTAAGTAAGAGGACTGGTTCTTTCTATGCTTATAAATGCTGCCACCTGGTATTAGACCAGGCAATTAACCATGAACATATACGTATATATACTGTATATATGGGGAGAGATAGAGAGAATTTAAATTGGTTTGTACTGGATTTACATGATTTCCATGACCATCAAATTTCATTTTGACCATCATCTACATTTGCCACTATTGTGGAAATGAGGTTGTTGTCCAATCAAACAGTCTTTGGTTTTTAACAATTGTGTGTCTGTGTTCCAGGAACAGGAACACACCTCCCCTGCGAGCAGCACTGTCACTGCTGATTGAGACAAATATCAGGAGTTCCCTCAGAGCTCATATTTTATTTTTCCCATCTGTACCTGGGGCCTGAAACACGGTGACATCAGCAGGTGGAGTTGGAGCTTTTCTCCAGGGTGGGGATTGAGTTCGTTTTTAGATCTGTGTAATGGAAAGTGACTACGGTAACAGATCCCATGGGAGGATGCTGTGAGGAGGTGGCTGCATCACACTTGCTTGTTGGCACCCACAATCAGGGAGTTCAGATTGTGAAAGGAAGACTTTCTCTTTTTTTTCTTCTTTTGAGGCCACCCCAGAAATATGGCAAACTATGATTTTGATAAGATCTGATTAATTTATTCAGTTGGTTTGCTGAATAAATTAATCAGATTTGATCATCAGGCTGCCAAAGTAATGCACTGTAAGAAAACCAGGACATTTACAGCCAAAAAGAGGTGTCTTGTCTGCCTTATAAGCTCTATCCTCTGTGATCATTTATTAGATTAAATCCGATGAAGCACCATTTTTAGAGCATAAACCACAGACTATATAGGAAACCAATGGCCTGTTCAGTTTACCTTGTTGTTGACGGCATTGTCAGTTATACCAGACAACAACATCACACTTTGTATGTGACAGCAAAGTGACAACGTGTCCACACACACAGTATACAAAATATTATTCTTCAGTTAAAAAATGATGTAAAACAAGTCTATGTAGCTAATAAACACCGCTTTAAGTACAAAACTGAAGTTCCTCACAGTAGCTTTAGGCAAGGTAGTGGATTCAGACAAGAATCCTTTATCAACATTTATATAAAAGTCACTAAAACTTTTAAAAATGGGAGTTTGTGCATCAAACCAACACAAAGATCAGTTCTGCTGCAGACTTTACTGAGGGAGTTTCTCTTAAATGTGTGCTCTTTGTGGTAGGATGCAGGACAGGAAAGATATATCCTGCTTGGGCCTGTTCATTCCTACTATGCAGACTCTGACTCCAAATGTGGAAGACATCGTGACTGTTCTAAGTGGTATTTTACTATCAGTTACAGTGGGAGGTGGTGGAAACACATTGCTCATCTCTTTTGACATTACTTTCTCATCCCTGAGTTGACCGTGTTTAGTATCTTTTATAGTATTGTAGCAGATGCTGTACGTAAAATGAGTTCATACCAGAAAATGTAGAAAACACACGTCATATATGGATTTAACACGGCAGAGTTACTCACTGCTTCTTCCTCTGAACAAGAAAAACCCACTTCCAACTTATCCCCTGGTTAGCCGTGACGAAACCTTAACTCTAACAAATTCTGAAAACCCTTCTCACTTGATTTATAGAAAGTACTTTCAAAGTCAACACAATTTTCAGCTAATGGATGGTAGAATAGGTAACGACTCTGAGGCACTATACCCTCAGCCCCACTGCTCCATTAATGCCGTGGTGCTGCGGAGGGATGGGTGCTTTGACTCGGAAATAGGCTTTATCCCTCTAAAAGTGGCTCTTTTGACGACAGTTTGGTGCACATGTATGCTGCACTTCCTCCTGAACGCAGGAAGTTTGTCCCATTTTATTTCTCAAACCCATACAGGCCTATATCCCAGATAGATCAGTGCTATGAAAGCATATGAATAATGGAAGATGCCGTCTTTACAAGTTAAAAAAGACCCACAGTGCTGTTACGTAACAGTGGAATGAGTTATGAGGATAACAAATTAAGCGAGTCACATGCAGAACTAATCGGAAGCACTGAGCTAACACAGGAGCAGACTGCTCAGACTTCTTTTAAATGTAACCTGGATTTTTTTTTTTTCATAACTATAAATGTTCTCCTGTTACCCCTGGCAACTTCACCTCTCCTTGGCATCTCAGCTTCCTGGTTACTGGCAAAGTCCCTCGTTCCTGTATCTTGATTTAAAACATGCATGAAAAAGGAGTTTTGTTATTTAGTAGCAGGTGTTTTTTTTTTGAAGGTGTGATCCGACCCACTCCTGGTCCATCTTTAAATTTGTAAATGATTCAAACATTTTGTTTTGTTTGTAACTGTACATTATGAGTCTGCGCACAACACATTTCTAAACATAAATGATGCATGTATATGGAAGCATAAAGCTAGAGTTTGAAAAGCACGGCAAGGTTACCTTCACACACATTCCCCTCATGTCAAAGGTAAATAAAAAAAGAAGAGGAGGAGCAAAAAAACTAATGAAACAAAGTGAAAAAAAGAAGAAAGAGAAGTAGAAGAATACAAGGAAGATAAAAAAGTCAGAGAAGAAACTTAAGACAAAGAAAATAAAATGGTAAATGTAGAAGATAAAAAACTGCAGATGAAGAAGAAGCTTTTGTGCACAACATGATACAAAAACAGCCAAACAACCAATCAAGAAATGCAGGATAATATTAAGTTATTTTTGAGTATATCAGCCACAGTCTGTTTACTTATATGCACATCATAAGTGTTCATGTACTGTGAAACCAAAAATGTTTGGAGCTCCCCCTGCTGACTTGCTGCAGTATAACCTTACCTTCCTTATGTGAGCAGGTGGAGCAGTAAGACCAAAATACACTTTAGTTAACTTTTTCTTTTTGACAGAATCTATAATTATAGTTCTTATCAAGCTAATTTATCTCTAAATGTGTATTTTTTGCTAAGTTTTAATATATTATTTTGAGGTTGAAAAGTCGAATGATTGACAGCTCTGTTGACGTATGTTCTTACAGTGACTTTTACTGAATTATCGGTGTAGAGAAAATGTAACGGACACTGACATAAGAGTCATCAAGTTTTCTGTAATGCTAATTGTCCATGTCCAATTTTAAAATTGGGCGGTCACAATAAACTGATATGGACATTATCAGCTTTTTTCTAAAAAAGTCACAGTGTGTTGTTGGCTTGTTCACTGTAAGGGGTAGTGGAAGAAGGGCTGTTTGTGAATAACATGTAACACAGAATAGTACACAGGAATAGATGTGTCTTTCTTTCTTAGAAGTTTCTGTCATGGGGCGGTGATGTGAATAAAACATAACTCTGAACACCATCAGAAATGGATGATGATGTATCAGTAAGTTTTGAAGATGTTAAGGTTTCGAGACACAGCTGATGATTAAAGTCCGCCTCAAACAGTTAGGTTGACTGTGGCGTCCGCTGTTGGTAGACCTCAAAACTAATTGAGTGACGTCTATAGTCTTGCTGGTCCACTGGTCATTGCTTCTGCACATAGATTGGCTCCACCAGACCAATGCATCAGTGGCCATCAAGGTTGTACTGTGGCTTCACATCTCACAATGAAAGAAACGCGTAGGTGCAGGGTTGTTATAAATAGACATGCAACATATACGTATATGAAATATTTTATTTCAATTTCAACTAAAGCTCCAGGAACTATGTGGGAAAAACATCATATGGACACTTGGTATGACAGTTGTATTTTCAATATCATCACTCATCTTCTCTGTGTGCACAACTGAAGTAGTTCAAAAAAGAAGTTTGAAAAAGAAGTATTATTGACCTAGCTGTCAAATTTCTGCTCCTAAATGAGTTAGCTCTGTTGTTTCCACTCACATGGAGTCAGGCTTTTGCAAATAGTGCATGAAGTAAACTAGTGTTTGAGGAAACAACCACCTCAAGCCTTACACTTAAAATAACCCGAGAGTATCACATGTTTAGTCCTCCTACTTGTTGTGTTTTATTCTGGTACCAGTAGTAAGAGAAAGTCTTCCATCCTCCCTGTAACAGCGTCTTCCTCTACAGCGTATGAACAAGATGTTCAGGATAAAGATAGTGCACAGAGCAAAGCAGAACGACAGATCACTGGCTGAACAGGGAGCAAAAAAGCTGAAATATTGATTATCCTATTGGCACTGCAGGAAACAATCAATCACATGACAGCACATGGCTGTATGTTGGGGGTTAACTGTGGCTTCATGAGCTAGACTACGTAACTGGACTGTCACAGCCACATACAGCAGAGCAGTGGTTATCACTGGCTATTTAGAGGCTGGTTGTAAAGAAACTTGTACAAAGGCAAAGGCAGAAGGTAAAGTCAGAATAATAAGTTTACACACAGGATGTATTAGAAAAGAGTAAGAATATGAAGAAAAATCACCAATTTAGGCCTTGATTTCTTGGTTGTTGTTTTTTTAATTGAAACTAAATAAATTGGACTTTTCACAAGCCATAAACCCGAGTTTTTACCAGAATTTGATTTAAAAGACAGAGATATTTAAAAACTAAGAATTCTTGGTGTAAATTTTGGTGAAAAAGTAAGATTACCAAAGGACCAGTGGGCTAAATATGTTACCTTCAGGAGCTCAGATTCAATGTTGGAAACATCCTCAAGATGTAAAGAAGTTGCTGTGGTTCTTTCAAATGAACCTTGAGTTCCTAGCCCTTGATTGGTTAGTACTGTGACATGTAATTAAGGTTGTCAAAGAAGTTGTTGTTATGGCGATGCAGCTGAAAAGTGCTGTTAAGAAGGTTACCTGTCTCCATCCTGCTGTTTCTTATCATTAGAGTTATCCAACCACCTCACATCGAAGCTTCAAGTTACACAAATATGAACACAAACCAAAGATTCATCACACATCTCACTTCATAAAGTGTTGAAAACTGAAAAAAAACAAAACCATCAACAATGGGATTGTTGTAATTTAAGTTTGTAATTTTAAATGTCTGTAACTGGTGCAAGGGGGTAGGTGACTTTCACAGCAAATATTCACATCTGTCTGTCAAAATACACCATTACAGGTTAGAAAACATTACTGACGCACATACAAGTCAAATCTAGTAGAGAGATAATGGATATTACTTTGTCTAAAGGGGGCGCCAGAACTGACACTAACAGACGGTTTCACACAGGAGCGTTTGAGTCAGTCAATCCTGAGGTATGGTTTGAGCAAAAAAACAATGTTGGATTGAATTCCCAGAAATCCAATCCTTATACAAAAATATTGAGTTTAAAGCTAGACCACAGAAAAAAAAGGGAACTCAAAATTTTTGTATTGGAACCAAGATTTACGAGATTGTCCGTTTACGAATTCCACTGAAAAATAAAACATAATTTTAAGGTTCAAGTCAGAATTCCAAGTCTGAATTCCGAGAATAAGTGCAGGGTAATGTTTGATTAAAAATATCCTAGGTAAAAAAAAGTCACATGTGGCCCTGGTTGTCTTTCAGGGTCAGGAAACTCTTAGCATGATGATGGGCTGTGACTAAGAGAAGACTATTTTGGGCCTTGGATTTCATTAGGACATGAGTGTTTATTCTTTAGGGTAAACCTTAGAAGGGGGTGTGGAGGAGAAAGGGCAGAGAGAGTCAGGACTGAGCGATGCTTGGTATGAGAGGGAGCGCTGCAGCATTTATCACTCACATCGTTAGACTGTGGCCTCTCCTCATGACTCTTCGGTGAATGTACCTCTTACCCTGCCCCGCATCAAAATGCTGTATCGATCTTTTAACCGCAAGCCTTTGTAACAGATGTCTCAACACGAAGACCACGCTGTTAGACTGCACTACAACCGTGTCTGATCTTTGAGTTCTCTGAGTTCGTGTTTTTTTAATCAAAGGAGGATAGACTTGTCAAACACACAGAAACTGCAGACATGAGGTTGAAACACACAACAACTGATTCATTCAACAGTAGAAAACGAAGCATTCTGGGAGGACGCTTGATGACATGACAGTTAAATCAAAAATCAATTTCTAAATATGAGACTGATTACAGGTCAGCTTCCTGTATTTACGACTATTTAAAAATTTTACCTTTTAAAAATCTTTAAAAAGCAAACTTCAAAAATTGTATCCCACCAGCTGAAGCTCAGAGCGTGAGGATGAGCTATTTCTTCAGTACTCTGGTAACTTCAACGATATGTTTACATAATTCAAACAGTGTTACCAGGTCATTCAACAGGCAGCAAAAGATATCCAGGAATGACACTTTAGGCCATCAAAGAGTGGGACCATTTATCTATTCATCCATCACAGTAAACTAAAAGTAATGACTGGATTTAGAACATGACAGCTTGTTAGCAATTGTGTTGAAGTGTGAAATATGTGGTGCTTTGCCCACAACTATAACATGATGCTGACTGTATCTATACTCATTCTTTTTGGCTCGCCATTTTCAGACATGACACTCTCTGCTGCTCTCTGCCCTCTTCTTACCGACTTGGTAAGTTGTTTTATCTCTTTTCTATGCATTGATAATTGTTCTCTTATAATCTGCATTATAACTGACCTCATGTTGAGTACTTCAGCTTACTTTAGAGGCACCTCCAGGAAATCACTGTGTCTCTGCATCTTTCGTCCTCATGGCACTGTAGTTGTGAGCGACAGCTTGTCTCAGCTATTTGTGGTACACCTCCTTAAAGGGATATTCTGGCATAAAATTAATTTGGGGTCAAACACACCGTAACACAGAGTTAGACACCCCCTCGAGAGATTAATGTCGCCAACTGCTTGATTCTCTAGTTATACCAACTTTAGTAACGACCGCACGACAGCAATACACAGCAGTCTGAGGAGTTATACACGAACCTCAACCAAAACGCCACTCTATAGCCACAAATAATGCTCAGAACAGCACCTAACTTCATCAACAGTACATATAGGGTCCCAGCCATAGCACTAGCCACCAAACATCTTTTTAACTTTGCCTGATTTCTTTAGCAAAGAGACTAAACACAAATCACCCACTCTCTTCCAGTAGCCGCTTGTTTGTGATCATAGATGTTCTTCCTTGAGCTGCGCCCCCCTGCTGTAGTCCATCACCGACCCATGACAGACTGGCCCGAGGTCTCGCTACAAACAAGCTGTTACAAACAAACAGGCTAGTACTGTGGCTGAGACCCTGTATGTGCTGTTGATGAAGTTAGGTGCTGTTCTGAGCATTATTTGTGGCTATAGAGTGGCGTTTTGGTTGAGCGCTTGGCTCTCTGTATTGCTATCTGCGGTCACTACTAATGTTGGTATAACTAGAGAAGCAAGCGGTCAGCAACATTCTTCTCTCGAGGGGGTGTCTATCTCTGTGTTACACCCTAAATTAATTTTACGCCCGGAAAATCCCTTTAACAGATGAGTGTTGCCATCCACCATTGTGAACATATAACATCATTTGAGTGCTAATCCTGAAAATGTGAGACGACACCACTTTCCAGTTGTATTTCAGGGAAAAAACTGACTAACATGTGTCAGTACAGTTTGACCCATGTCTGATCTGTTAACACGAAGAAGGCAGAGCTTATGACCTATACTTCAATCAGACAGCAGGGGGGCTGAAAATGTTTTGACCTAACTTTTGGGGAGCTTTCAAGTACTTCATCTTTGCATACTGTGTATGATTTTTAACTTAAGTCACAAGAAAAAGTGCTAAACTTAGTTGTATCTGTTTTTACTATTTTTGGTCAGTAAAACCATAACGGAGAATTAACTCTCAAGGGTCATTTTAAGACTTGCTTTGTCAAATTTACTGCCTGCTGAGCTGTTGCTTTAATCGACAAAATACCATAAATCTATAATAAATAAAAGAAAGGAAAATGTATACAGGCCAGGCTTTGAAACTCCATTGTAATCCTGATAGATTGAATTGGACAGTATAAATATCACTCTGCATTCAGTGAATGTGGGCTGGCTTGCTGTACAATGGAGAGTGCCTGAATTCACACTGGGCCAGTGTCATTGCCCTTATCTCTCTGAAATAATGAATGTTGTTGGTCACAATGGAATTTAAAGAGGAGTCGGTTATTATGTGTGTGGGATTCCTCAATTTATGCTATTGGTCTTTTGCCCTATTAGTCACAAATGTGGGTGCAGTGGAGAGGTTTTGCAGCCCATGTCTAAACATCACATATGGTGTTGCATTTTAACCAAGTACCAGAGAGCGGTGTCAGACAGTGAGTAAAAGCTTGATGCTGTTGAAATATGTGATTGACACATCAACTGCCCACAAAGCTGGTATCCACCTCATCTACCCATTCATACAAAACTTCTATCTAGATTTAAACTCTGTTCATAAAGTTTCCTGATAAGAAGCTTTGCAGCTGTTTGAATAGTTTGACACTGGCAAGTTTTGATGTAATGTGCTCCAGTGAAGTCTTTGGTTATGACTTTGTTGATGGGCTTCCCAGCAGCTGTTCATTTGCAAGCTAACATTTGCTCTAAGCTGTGCCAAACAATGCTCACCCTCCCTCTCTGATTGGTGGACATGCTGGCTCTGGGCATGCTGGTTGCGGGGCAGTGGATGGTTTTTAATGCTCTATTTTGACCTGGATGTAATATATGTATACAGATGCATACAAGATGAATAACAGTTTACCCCTGGACACTCATATGGATGCATAGGTATCGATTTAAAGGTCAAACTTGTAATGCTTTTCACATTAATTACAGGAGAGAGACATCTAAAACAGGTTATAGTGTTTCAACATATGACAGGCAGTTCTCTGACTTCCTTAATTGTCATGCACATTAAAGCCTTAGTTCAACTCACAGAAGTACTTCTTCATGCTCCCTTTTTCATTTTAGTTCATGCAAAAACACAAGTGTCAGGACATGAAAACCAAACCCACTGTGATAGCCACTCTAATTCAACAAGAGTCCTGAAAATGAGCAACTGATACGTGCAGTGAAGGCATGTATTATTCAAAGTAACTAATTAATATTATTACATAATCCACTTATCTCAGCACAGTTTCTCACACTCACTGTCACCTTTCACCTTCATTAAATTCCTTTTAATATCTCCATTCAAACTGAAAAATAACACTTCTAGTAACAGACCTCGAGCTCATTAAAAGTACATTGTGCTGGGACACCTGCAGTGCATGAACTCCATAGTAATGTAAAAATAACATGCAGGACATTGACAGAATTGAATGATTGAGAGCAAGTAAGTTGATTTTGTTCATTAATAAAGTGTATGCAGTTATGTGTTGCTCCAGCTGAACTCCTTCCTATGTTTTTTTTTACTTGAAAGCAGAAAACAGACAGAAATATTCAATTTATAAGCAGCCTTTTGCAACACCGCCTAAATGGTTAGTAACCACTCGGTCCAAGATGTCCGGTTAGTTACAGTTGTGACTGTCAGCGGGTGTTTTTGTCTGTATTTTTGACTTTAGTAGACATGTGCAGTAATCTCACTGCTGCAGGGAAACGACTGGTAACTTGACTACAACACTGAATTGCACACACTACCTTAAAGGTAATTTCACCAAAAATCCAATTAAACCATATTTTGCGCCCGAGTTGTTGTCTTCATATCCCACTTCGATCCTTTTCTTTTTACTAAAAGTGTTATCAGTGGTCTTAAAATTGTGATTATAAAGTTTTTAGAACAAATTGCGTTACCTGTGTCATTTTCAAGGGCTTTACTTCTGCAGAGCTCCAGTAGCTCATTAGCAATTTGCCTCTGAGTCGTGGGCGGAGACAGCACCGCTCTGCACCCTCCTCTTCACGCAAGCTTGCAGCCTAACATTGCCGAGGTAATAGAAGTGGTAGGTAATATAGGAACTATTCAGCTCTCAGGCACTAATGTCTTTAGAGGCTTGATGGAAGTTAATACCATGATAAGCTTTCTTACGGGGATTGCAATACACTACCGCACACACTCATTCCGCCAGTGTCCTCTCTACTTTTCAGGGTCAGGCCCTCAGAGTGGGGCGCCGGGGGTGGAGCATGGACTTGTGACGTACAAAATCCCACTGTGTCTGAACCTGCTGTTTGGGTCTGCCAGAGGTTCACAGAGACTTGAATTCAGAAATATTGAAAAATGCAATTTTGCACTTAGTTTGGTCATGATGTGTCCTATAGCATCAGAAAAATGCCAAATGAAAATATTGACAACAAGAAAAATAAGATTTTCATCAGAGTGGGCCTCTAAGAAAAAAATAAAAGTACCCTGAGTGATTTCATATCTACTCATTATTATCATCATTACATGAGATAATATATGAATCTCATCTCCAAATTTTAACACATACAATTCATGCATACTTCACACTCCCACAAGTGTGAGCCTTTAAAATGTGTACAGTCAGAACCACAGATACTATGAGTGAAACTGGAACCAGTCCATTTATCTCTGTGCATCTTAAATCAAGTTATTTTTTCCCCACCAGGAGAAAACAGGCTTTTAAAAACTCACAGGGGAGCCACTTTCCGCCGACCGCAGCCAGGGCAATCAAAAAGAAGTATTCTAATGATCTCTGACAAAATTGTCAGGCGATATCCTCCAGGGTGCTATGATACTTTACATTACTGTAGACAGATCGATAGAGAGGATGACATGAGAGGCCTCTGCAGAGAGAGGGAGAGAGAGCTGGAGAGCCTGCAGAGCACTGCTCCAGCCTGTGATCATCCCACAATGAGTCCAGCTGACCTCACAGGACACATGTAAGAAGCACGGCTCACACATGTAAGACCTGAAATGCTTAAATAATTACATCTAACCCCTCTCCTCAGCTGTGATTCCTGTGTGCGGGTGTTCTGCAGCTTTCTGTGAGTGCATCTGGCACCTTTACTGTGTTAGCAGGTACACAACGTGTGCAGTAATTGAAAAATTGACAGCCTCCCCTTAGAAATCAATAAGGAATTCTTTACAGTTGGCCTTTAAACAGTGACACAGCAAAATTAGAATGCCGTGGGAAGAAAGTCAATCTGGAAACATTTTGTTTCAAAGTGGCCCATGTCCCCCAGGAACCGGTTATCACAGACAACTGACAAGACCTGGGCGCCACAAAACTAGGTCATTAAAGTGGATTAATGCTGTAATTCAGAGATGAACACACAACTCAACTCCTCTAATGACCCCTCCAGTCTCCGATCAAGCTCACTGCGCTGTGGTTAATATTGTTTACTCAAATCTTGGCTTTTGCTCACTCATTGTTACGCTGCTCAAAAGAAACTCTCAGTTTCACCTGTAATTGCATGATATTGTGAAATAATTGAAGCCCAATTTGTGTAAGATTCTCAGACGGATACTGATGCTGAATTCAGAAGTTAAGATTCACAGATGATACAGAAGCCAAGGTTGTTTTTTTTAAATGAGTGAATAAAAATAGATCTCTTTTTTTACATGTATTTTTTGCTGATCTCACACTACTTTAATGAAGTGAAGGAGTTCAGAGGCCTACTTTTAAATAAGAAACAATATTATGCGTTGATATATCTGCTGACCAGTTCAAATAGAAACCACTGTCTGCTCTGCTGCAATATTCTACTACTCGTGCTGCAGAGTACTCTCTTTTTCACAGCACAAGTAACGCCAAGGACAACCTGACTACACACATCATACCGAGTCAATCCATGGAAAAGATTGATTTCACCTCTGCTTGTTGACACTGTGGCAAAATAGTAAGCTTCCAACAGCATTTCAAATTGGTAGACGTGGCATAAACATTATTTTCCATCTCGAGCTGGTCTTGAGAGTCTGAAAATGATGACAGTAACTGAGCGCATGTGTGAGAGGAATCCCCAGAAAAGTGGAACAAGAGCCTGTCCTGTCAGGGCAACGACAGTGGGACAGTGCATCTCTATGTCAACAATCACAAAGAAATGGACTATGGACTCTGACATCTAAGTGGATTTTTTTGCTTTTTTAATTTATAATTCATAAGTTTATGTTTGGGTGGACAGCTGTTCTTGGTCAGAAACTTTGTAAACTGTGCTGTTGCCTATCTTGGCCAGGACACTCTTAAAAAAGAGGTTTTGATTCTCACTCAGTACATTTACATGTTGTTCAAAAAAAAAAAAAAAATTATTGCATTAGTCTGACTGATATTGCACTAATTCTAACTCCTCATGGTTGGATGATCATACCTAGACATTTCGGATTGATTTTGTCTTCCATGTCTACAGCTCATTCAGACTGCAACCAGCCTAACCGATCTGCTAAAGCGCCAGAGTTGGCATGCCGGCTTTAATCCGGAAGGTGAATGGCATAAATGCTTTGGTAGAAAGCTGAGTGGTAAAAAAAACCTTAACGGAAAAAGAAGGGACATAAAAACATATAAGTCTGGCATACAAACGGTACCAAACGGTTAAAGTGGCAATGTTTTCATTGCTCAACGTACGTCCCATTAGCCAGTTGGTAGTGCTTTTGTCAACTGGGGGCGACCCCAGAGAGTTAAAAGAGGGGGCTATCGCTTGGCTGACCCTACCCTCTGAGTTTAAAGCATTAAAATTAGGATATAAAAATCATAAGTGTTGTCACTTGTGGTCTTGTTTTGTATGTCATGATAAGACATCAATATGAATTTCAGTCCATTTTATAAATGCCACAATCCTCCTCATAAGAGCTTTGTATCTCAAATCTCAAGTCTTCATTCTACCTACACCCCTATGCCTCAAAATGCCACACCTGACTGAGCCACTACCTCACCATTATACCAGCCAGCCCTAAGGCCCTTGTCTTCTTTTTTTCCCTCTAAACTGAAGCTGGCGTAGGGTTGTGAAGAGACAAAGAACAAAGAGAACCAAGAGATAAGTGAATCCTTTTGTGTTCACCTTTTTGTTTCACAGAGAAAAGCACGAGAAGCAGATGCACAAATAACAAGAAACCATCCACAACATTAATTACTTGTGAGTCAATATGTACAGTTAAGATGACTCTGGATCTCGTGTTTAATCTGCAAACATGCTGTTCTCTAAACCAATGGCAGCAAGCAATAACTTGTCAGGCTGTAAATCAAACTGTTTTTAAATTAAAAAAACATTGTTAATTACATGTTTTGTGTAAACTTGTTTATGTCTTTGGTTGGTAGCAAGATGATTAACATAGTATAGTGAACAGGTGATTATGCAAACTAGAATCCTGACAGGGTGAGCAGGATCACATTCATTTTCCATGCTCTCTTTTTATTCAAATAATGTCATACCAGTACAAACAGAATAACAACAAACTGATATAGATAAATCTGTGGTAATATCTACCAACATCAACATTATTTTGGTCAAATATTGAAAACAACATGATGTTCAATGTAGTGTTTCCTGTCTGTGTATTTTTCTTGAGCCTATCACTGCATGAGCAAAAAGTTCACGATTTATCTCTGAGTATTAGCCTCAAAATTAGAGCAAGAGGGTAGAAATGCTTTGTATGGATCAGTCATTTGTTCTTATTGAAGCCATAATGCAGGTCATTTGTACTGTATTATATTACAGGCCACAGGAGGTGGCTTACTGGCAAAGTGCACCAGTATTAATACTTGTTAATGGGGTCAACCTCCAAACACTGGCAGGCAAAGTGACTTTTGCCATTTACACAGGGAGGGGCGTCACACAGACAGACCTCAATAGTAAGCACAGCTAACCTACCAATACAGCAGCAAAAGAATACCACTTGTTACACGTGTTGAAGCAAAAACACCCCCACCCAGCACCACCAACACAACGCCTACCTGCTGAGGGCAGGCATAATCAGGGGAACACAGTGTCCTCTTCTTCCCTTGGTGTGTGTGATGGAAAATGTTTCAATCCTTGGAGGGAAGTAGTCCTACAGTGGAATAACAGTTGTCATGAGCAACACTCACTCACTGCTCTCTGGTCCTCTGGGGTGATGGAAACAAACACAGCCAGTTAATGTAGCCATACAATATTACTTCCAAATACTGTGCCAGGCAGATATACATCATCTGGATGTGACATTTAAACCCTCTGACAATTATATATTTTCTGGAAGACCAAATTAGTTTTACAAGATGTTGAAAGTCCTTTGAGTACTCTGGTGTATAAACTTTTATGATCAGAGCATTTGTCTGACTGATATTGGTTTTTCAGGGCTGATACTGATACCTATTTTTAGTGGATCGTGAGACTGATTTGATTGAATTTTGATTTTTTTTTCAAACGCATCTACAAAATTGGTGGCAAAAAAATAACTTAGTTCTATTCAATAAAAAAGAACCCCACATGCACCTGAAGGGCAATAACAAGGCCACACAGCTATGGTATAAAGTTTTAGATATAAAGTACTGGTCTGTGGTCATCCACACAAGCAGTGACCAACAACAGATAATGTTCCTTAGAGATAATAATAATGAACAATAACATAATACAGGATGGGTTCAAGAAGAGACAAGTGAAAACAAACCATCAAGGAAAGACACACCAGCGGTAAAGTCAAATTTTTTACTTCACTAACTTTATCGGCAATTGGCAAAATAAATGACAATAGGGGAGAGTGGGGTAAGTTGAGCCACCTCCTGTTGCTTGGAAATGGTAAAAGAAATTGATCATGTGACCAAATATTTAGGAGATGGGCATCAATTCATGGAGTCTGTAGAGGCACATGGGTTAAGGGGTTAGACATTTATTTACAAAAAAAAATTTCACTCTTGAAAGTGAATTTAGTCTGTCATAAGTTTTATTAGAATTGTGTTCAGACCAAAAAAGATCATTTTAATTTTGTTTTATACGTCAATGGTGGTATCTATGAGCTACAACATGAGGTCAAAAACCTAACCTAAAAGTCCACCATTTTAGCTCAGAGGACTAATAAAGTCATAATAGTAGTTCAGGGGTAAGTTGAGTCAGTGGCTCAACTGAGAAAGTAAAAGACTCTGATGAGAGGATCAGAGTTTCAGTTCAGATTGTTGAAATGTTTTACTTTTTCTTTTCAAAAATACAGCTGTGAATGCTCTGAATCACTGAAAGACATTCTCATGTAAAAATGGCTTTTTACAAAACAGCTTTTTAGCAGTTTATATGCAATAATAATAAAAACAATGATTGTACCAGCTGAAAAGCGTATAATAGATAAAAATACACATGAATGTGAAGAAGTGACTGTTATTTAGGGAGAGAGAAGGTGAAGGAGGGCTGGGGTGGAGAGTGGGGGGAGTAGTAGGGATACGGCTCAACTTACCCCATACACGTGGTAAGTTGACCATAGGAGACCACTTTTTTTGGCATGCTATATTATCAAGACAGTTATGTTTACACTCATTCAGTTGGTTTGCAGGGATGCACAACATCTTGAAGTATATGCAGATACACTAGTTAGAGACAAAACTATGATTGCCTTGATGTAGTGATCAGAAATATGAGAAATGGCTCATCTTACCCCACTCTCCCCTACCGATAACCTGCCAGAAGCCAAATATCAGCCTGATAATTGGCTTCAGCTGATAATCAGTGGACTCAATTTTCTGCAGCTGCTTTTGATTGAGTGATCTGTTGCAGTGCCCTGTAGGCTGTTCTATAATCTGCAGTCCTGCTCCAGAAAGGTGACTTGAGAAGAACCCCCACCCTAAGCTAACACAGGTGAGTCTTAACACCTGTGACTTAGGAGTTTTAAGGCACAAATTCACATCTGGAACCAACATGCAACAACTTAAAAAAGAAACTGAGGGCAAAGAAATGACACAGAAACTGTCCAAAGACAGGGGGCTGTAAATGTCGACTGTTTAACGTGCAGTGCACACGTGCCCTCCTGCAGAGAGAGAGAAAAAAATCCACTTCACAGACACTGTCATCTCCTGGAAAATCAAGCTGGAATCGGCTTGGGACAATAGTCTCAGTCAGATCATAAAAATTTCCGAGAGCATCACTGAAATGACGGCGCAGAAACCACGTGTTTACGTAATGGAAAGCCAATCTTTCAATTTAACCCCTCCTCCCCGTCTATTTCTAACAGAGCTCCGCCACTAAAGGAAATTCATGCAAATGTTTTTATAGGCGCACCGGACTTTTTGGAGATGCGAGTGGCGTGGTGCTGAAAACGGCTGGAGGAAAATACCCCGCAAAAACAAGGGAAGAAACGCACACTTCAGGAATCACGGACACACAGCAAGAAGAAGCCTGGCTTTAACAGAGACGTTGCAGTGTGGGACGAGAAGAAATGCAAACTGAGGTTGGTGTTATCTGACCTCGCCAAGCAAGCTGGTTTACAGGAGAAACGAATTGGACCGGATCCGGCAATGTGCTGTTTTGTTGGGGCTATCATTGCAGCAGTCTGTGCATAGGATGCATCCTCCCTTGGCTTTTGATGCTGTGCAGATCCACCCTCCTCTCCTCAGAGTGATGAACTAATAGGCAATGATTTTCTCCTCGGAAATCCACCGTGTTTTACTGTTTTCACGTTAGTTGTGTTTGTTTACTGGCGGCCCGTCTCCTCCCGGTGCGACACATGCAATTTATAGAGTATATTTTCTATTATCGACTAGTTGAGGAGGCATCCTTTATACGCCAGAAGAAGAAAACACACCGTTATTACGAAGTCTGACAGATGCTGACTATTTTGCCACGTGAATGAAAACGCATAGGACTTGGATATACCTATTTTTCTATGATACAATTGGTAGCCTTGTCCTGGAGAACTGATCCAATTGTGTTATTATGCAACCGCAAGGATCTCATCTATATCTGGGTGTTTAAGCCACTGGATTGCTCTTCGCCCAAATCAATGTGGTTTCTTTGGAACATTTTCAGCAAAGGAACGCATATGCTGCAGTGTCTTTGTGGCAAGAGTCTTAAGAAAAACAAGAATCCAAGTGGTAAGCTCATCACCATTATACCTACTCCTCCGATTCGCTGTGAACCGGCGTTGTGCGTGCGTGAGTGTGTGAGACATAGTGTGTGTGAGTGTGTGTGCGTTATTCGTTTGTTTGTTGTACTGGTGATAGATCTGCAATCATATTTATGCAGCGAGTGGATCATGCAGAGGCGCTGGGAGGGGGAACAACTTATTCTGTGCAGCTACTATCGGCGAGCCCAGGGTTTGGGGACGCGCAGCGCACAGACACACAATAAGCCCCCCCTGCATCACCACGGCACCATGATCTCCTAACTTTTTAAATAGCACTCACACACACATACGCACACACACGCTAGACAGGCTCGATGTCTTTTCAGCGGATCAAGACCACGCACAGTTATTCTGTCCTGCGTGGTTTCCCCCCTTTTTACCAGATTATTCCATCCCCGGGTTTACCGCAGCAGCATTCCCCCCTCTCTGCAACACCACTTCTCCATCAAATGGGCTATACTCGCTGTGTTTTCAGCAAGCAGGCAAGCCAGCCGGAGGAGACAGACTATTCTTCTTTCATGTCTTTCTCTCGGCTGTTGCAGGGCCAGCATTGATCATGCGGGCCTGGTTAAATACGATTTTACTCGAGCACTTGAGTTGATTCTGTCAGGGTAGTACAGGTGCGATTAAGGCACGTAGAGAATCAATCCCGCTCTCCTGCACTAATGCAAAACCTCTCGATTTCGACTGCACTTTTTGTCGAGAAAAATGCACAAGCCTTCCCCTCTGTATCACACAAACAGTTCTTTTTTACTTCAGCTGTAATTAAATGCAACATTATAGAGCACCAGTGAGCAAAGGCTGCGTATTTCAACAGGCTGCTGTAGGTAGAGAAGCCCCAGGTGGACAGCATGTAGTGCGGACAACTTGTTACCTCATGTTGTGGGCTTGAAGATGATGTGCTCAGCAGCAGTACAGTTCCTCCACACTGCAGCTGCAGTATAGTAGATCATCATAATACTGGAGCGGGACTATTTTACCTTGCTGACACTGCAGGAGCAACAACAGAATACACAGTCTACTATCAGCCACATGCGTAGTCGCTTTTAAACCACCATGCTTTTATGTTAAAGAGGGATTTTAGCATTTCACATGACTGTCAGGCCACGGAGAGCCTCATTTTGTGGTTTTCACGTAGCAGCTATCCCCGAGACTTTTATTTTGGTGGGTCACACATGAAACACAAATCCAGATGAGTGGCTCTTTTAGGAGCTCGCCTGACATAATGGATAAACCTGGTAGTTTATTCAAATGCACTTACCACTCATTTTGATGCATTTTAGTCTCCCATATCATTTCTGTTGATATCAGTGGCAGCGATAAAAAAAAAAACATAACTTGAACTAAAAAGTTACAGATTGAACCTTTAGTCAAACACAGCGTGGCAGGAAGTAGAAGTCTTCTGCTTGCCTTGTAAAAAAAATAAATAAAAAAAAAAAGTGAAAAGAACAATTTTATCCTAAATTAATTTGTTGTAATGTGAATTAAAACAACACCAGAAATCTTATCTGATTCGACCTTTTTTTATTTAGATTAAATTACACAGTAATATTTATATTCATGTTGTTTTCTTGAGGCAAGGTAATAACTACCTATGTGATATCAGGCTGCCATCTTTGATGAGGAGTATCACCCAAGTCCCAAAAGTGTAAAAGTAAACCTGTAAATTTCCTACTTTGAAAAAAAGTTTGAACTGTTGAATATGAGAAACCGGACTTACACACCTAAAGCAGTGGTAAGTGTTTTCAATCAGCATGTCAGTTTAAAGTTTGAGGATGTTTCAGTAAAAATGTCAGCAGCAGCTACATAGACTGACTGTTCCCCAGTGGAAATGCTGCAAAGACACTAACTTTCTCAGCTGGTGCTCAACAACATGCCGTCTACTGATCAAAGCATACGCTGCCAGGTGTCGGAGAATTGCAGATATGTGCCTTTCAAAGCGAGAGTTTCCCACTTTTTACCTTGAGGAGGCTCATTATTGAGTTATCACAAAGTGATGGTGTTGGCACAGTCGTCAGGATTTGAGCTGAAACAGCAGATAAAGCCAATATCTTACAGGTACATGAAGTAGGCCAAGATGCAGACTGTGTCAGAGGGGCGCAGTATTGTTTCTTATGACTAAAAACTGCTAACTCATCGAATAAACACCGTCAGACAATTCACAAAACAGCCACAGACTTGCTTTAAACAACCTTAGAGGATTTGGTAGTAGGTCTAGTGTCTTTGTAGCAAGACAGACAATCCTCTGTGTGGCCCTCTGTCAACAGAAGCAGGTGTTTCCAGTGTAGTGCTCACTAGGCCTGAGCTGCAAGGCCTAGATATAGTGCTCCAGCTCTGACTTATTTTTAGAAACACAACATAACTGAGAGAACACAAGAGAGACTAAGCCAAGTGAGCTGTATCAATAAGACTGACAGTATTGTCAACACAGAAACATCTGTTTTATGATTCACATATTGTTATCTCTTTCTCTTCACATGCAAAAGTCAGTACTTCCTGACTTCCTGGCTGTACTGTGTGTGATGGAACTTGTAGCTGATTGTTGTTGATGTTTCCTTGTCAGGGCAACATTGCGTTGAAACCTTTCGGCATATTTGTGTCTATGTATGTTGCAAGGAAGTGAAAATACTTGCATGGAGAGTTTGTCGATTTGAATCTGTATTTATTGGCACATGTTTGGCACAGTCAGTGCTGTGTGAGACCGTGTGAACTGACAAAAACTTTGCAGTATCATTTTTGGTGACTTTGTCGGCATCAAATTTAAAGTGATGCATCATTGCTTAATGATGAGTTAATTTTCAAGATTAATGTTAGTGCTTTTAAAGCAACATGACTGTAAGACTCCTGACATTTTCTTGGCAGATATGTCAACAAATGGTAAAATATTCAACTTCATAGTTTTTCTGTATAGAGTTGTTTCTTTCTATCTCGTAAGTTTGTCTCTAATTGTTAAAACTGCTTCTGCATTGTGAAATTCATACCAGTGAATCTACAGAAAGAGGGGGAAATAAATATTAGTTCTGTTGTTTCAAACTAGTTGGTGATAATTTAGTTTTTTTGGTTTCTTTTGTAACGTGGATTCATATGGAGGTCAGATGCCATTAATGTAGTGTTTCTGTTTAACTAAACCAAGTGCATGCTAGTGATATTACATTGAAGCACTTCCTCCCTTTGGAGCGGTCCAAAGCTATCGTAGTTAACACTGTTGCACTCAATCATTGTCCTCTAATAGTCCAAATTATTGTAACTGTTTGAGTTTCTTCTCTTTTATTAATGGTAGATTGTCCTTTGGGTTGATGGTCTTGAGCTCTGACATTGCTGACAAACCCTTAATGTTCTTAACCATTTCCCAGGGATGGATATACGAGCGAATATACTTCATTAAGTCAATTAAGTAATGAACCGGCTGAGATGTGGGAATGGAATAACCCTGCAGCCTTTGTGGCGTTTGGAGTTGTATAACTGACCTCAGAGTTTTAATCTAAAACTTTAAAAGCATCATTGAGAGGATCATTGCTGCGATGATAGACAGTGGTATGATGTCTGCCATTTGTAATGAAAATAGACTGATGTTGAGTGCCCACCATAGACTGTGAATAGGTGACAGGTATAGCATTTTGGTTCTAGAGGTGAAGACTATGTGCTATATGCGTGTCTTAAGCCTTTATTCTCTCCAATGGCCAATTTGGGCAACTTCACTCGCTAAAATTTGGGTTGTTGTTAGTTTATCTTTTAGTTAATTCATCACCTTTGGAATCATTCTCTGAGTATGTGGTGTTTAGTATTATTCAGCACAGCATGAGGACCATCTCCTCAATCATAGACCCACATTGAGTAAAACTGTCAAATAGGGTGAGCTTCAAGAAGGGATTGATTTAGAGGTTTTTACCAGGCAGTCATTGGCCGGGAAAGTGCTACACCCACTCGTATCCAAATGTGGTCATGCATGGTTCCAACCAACATGGCAGTGACCAAAATATGAAGCCTGTGGCTCAAAAAAGGAATTCACAAACCAGTGGGTGATATCATAAAGGCTTTAATTGGGTAAAACCAGACTACTGTGAGTGTAGCTTAGTTGCTGAGAGAGCAGGAATGCAGCAGACTTACAAAGTCAGTAGGTTGCTTCCTCAGAGTAGCACATCAGTGGTTCATTCATTGACAGCAGAGTGACAGTACAGGTCACAGAACAGCCAGGCGTCCACGTGAGGATGGTTCATAGCATATCAAGTGAAACTCAACTCTATTAACTGTGACAGAGACCAGGAAGCTGAACTCGAGCTTCAGTGCTGTAATGCTATTGCTGTGTTTGCTCTATGGCTACAGTGGAGCTTTTACCTTAAGCTTTAGCTTGACCTTACCATGGAGCTGTGACCCAGAATGAATTACTGAGATCTCCAGCAACATTTTGATGGTGTGAAAAAATATCTTTAGGAATGAACTGTTTTAAATTTTAGGCTAATTACACTGCAAAAAGTCAAACATAAGCAAGTGTATTTGTCTAATTTCTAGTCAAAGTATTACATTAAACCTGTTTTAAGTCTCATTTACTTTAAATTTACTTGAAATAAGGCCTGAGTTTAGAGTGTGATATACAGTACATGGTGTAAGATAATAACACAAATGTTGTGTCAGTGATGTACTAAATGACATCCAGTATGCAATGGAGCGCAGGTAAACGGGCTACATTGCATATGCATTGAGAACACATGCAATGTTCGCAAATGACTGTAAACTAAGCTAGCATAGCTACCTGCATGGCTAAAGTTGGAGATAAATGAACAAACAGCCAAGACAATAAATGTAATTGCTATACATGGCTCATCGTTACTCACATGGAAGTGGTTTGACTTTGAAGAGATGGAAGTTCCTAAAAAAAGCACAAGTCTGCAGACTACAGTGGGGAGTGGTTGCTATTAAAGATGGCTTAAGAACTCTTGTTTCACCACTTGTAGATTGATGATCATTCAGAATATGAAAAGCTTGAGGAGTCAACAGGAGAGATGGGGACTGAATACCAGTTTCCAACTAGTTCAAGCTTTAATGCTTCACAGTTTCTTTATCGATGTGTTCCTCTTAGTTCAGTGTAGCTTGCAAGACAATGACATGACGCATTGCTGGAGGCGGTCATCATGAACGACAAATGAGCAATCGTGAGCATCGTGAGCAGGAAGATGGATGTAGTCCGTGATACTGTTGTTTACAACTTAATATTGTAATGAATACAGTATAAGCTCTTGAATAAAATCCACTGGTTTAGTATAATTTATGTATTTAGCTTTGATTTTTGCTGTTAGCTGGCCATGCTAATGGAAGACTGCCATCTTTACTACGGTCTGTTGACCAATCAGAGGCTGTATCTACATTCATTTGACCTTTTAAAGCCCAATCAGAAGTCTAGCCAGAAGCCCTGTCTCAGCAGAGCATGTGACTAAACTTTTATTGTTTAAGCCTGTACATACCCACTTTAATCCACAGAGAAAATCTATAGGGATTGATAGAGAATATGATCAATATGTAGAATTGACTGAAAACTTACATTAATATATATCTTAATACTCATGATCTCAGTGTTTTTCCATTTATTTATCTTAATGACTCAGATTGAGCCAATAAATAAAAGCTGTTTGCAGGTAATATACAATCAACAAGAACGAGCAAGCACAATACAAGACTTGTCACACATGCTTTTTTTATTGTTTTTCCACATTTCGCAAAATATCAACAGTTATCACTAAATATACAGGAGATAAACCACAGGCATTCACACAGACAATTCCAACCCTCGCTGTTGTGTTTACACAGTCCGCTGGTATAAGCCCATAAACTAAACTGATGAGTTTTATGACAAGGCTGTTTGAAGAGCAGCGACTGTCTCTTGATAAGCAGCATGTTCATTTGTGAGCCATCATATTAAGCTTTAAATGAAATCTTAGTGTGAAATATTCCCCCACCGTGTACTATTCTTTGCTGAGCAGAGCCGTCTATAGTATAATCTAGATTTACATATGCAATGTAATATCTGAAATGTATGCCGCTGGTGTCATTTCCATCTAATTCTCACCTCAGAGGGGGAGCAATAGATCTCAAATTCAGCTTTCCCCCAAATCAGTCCAGCTCAAGAATCCAAAAGAGGCCGGAGTTTTAACACAGTCCAAAGCAGCATGTTTTATTTGTGTTGCAGACCCACGCCACTTTTAATTCCTGCTAACAAAGAAACAGCAGTAATAATTAAAGGGGCCGGGTAAGAATCAAACAAGAGCTCCTACAATTAGAGTAACAGCAGGGTTGGCTAAAAATATCCTCCTCCAACCACTGTGGCATGTCGGTAGGTTTTCATACAGAAACATTGCAGTAAGTTTGTAAATGGCTCAGCTGA